TGATTGCGTTAGCATAAACTACAGAGATCTAAAGAATCCATTCATCAAGTCAATCATAATCTTCTTGTGGATATGCTAAGGAGACGTTGACTTGAAAAGCAAACAACATTGTATCATGGAAGATTGAATGATTTTAAGACTAAACTCAACAACCATCGTAAAAGGAATAAGAAATACTAAGAATTAAGGATCCCTCCCTACAGGCAGATTGTACCACTCACTCATCTTTCTCCTCAGTAAATAAAAAAGTATGTTTATAAAAGATTTAAGAGAGAGATCCATATCATCCTAAACAGATGATGATGATGATGACGAAACATATTAACGAGAAAAAGAGGAGGGATCCATACGTCGTCTACTCCTCTCTCCCACGGTTTGCATTTTGGCCTCGTTCCTCCTTTGATGATGGCTTGGGAGAAAAGAGGGGGGGAGGAGGAGGAGGAGGAGTTGTATTTATAGGATGAATATCTTATCTCTCTAAGAATCCTAACCCTAATATATATTTAGAAATCCTAATTTAATTAACTTAGTTTGATTTGTGGTCCTAATCCAATTACGATTTTCATTAGATCTTCACCTCCACCTTTTACTCAAAGATATACATTAGAGGAATAACATACATATCTAATCAAAAAATACCCTTAATTAATTTTAACCTAAATTTAATTTTTAAATTTCTAGACTAGATTTAGAGGATATTACAATCTTTTCTCACCTAAAGGTTTGATTTTAACAATGTATAATAGTATAGTGTGATCGACCCTCTAATCTCATCGTCTATGGAGAGTACTTTCCTACTCGAGTCCTTAACTATATCTGTCATTAGGTCAACACTTAGTTTAGAATACACTAACTAATCCTCTTCCTTAATCAGCTTGATCGATATGTACCACATGTATGCATACTCCTCAACAACACAATCACAACTTTCAGCACACAAATCCAGAGCTTTTTTCTGGTTCAGCAACACAGAAAACTCAGATTAGCATAGGATTCTACTAAGAGAATACACAAGTAATTCATCCTCTCAATTGGTACCAAGGATGAGAAGGTAGGTTTTAAGGCCCAATTCACAATTCACATATAGAAATTCAAGACATTTTAAACAGTCATCGTGGCGATAATATTTAAATCAGTGTTATGTCATTTTGAATATACCATGTTACTTTATCTGCATCTCCCAACATGAATAGATGTAAAATTCTCAGACAAATTCTATTTTGATGGTCATCCTATTTTCTAATACACAATCCAAGTCACTATTGCCTTATGCAAATAGAAAGTAGGTTAGAAGCTTCCTGTCATGAATCTAGGTTGATGTGCAAACATGAATTGTGTTATTGAGAGATGGAACTTGCTAGATTCATGCAACAGCACATCAACACTCATGTCTTGAATGATTCTATCAACCGGGAGCATATGCATACCGATCGATATTCATATCTTGAAAGATTCTATTTAACCTGAAGCAAATGCATATCAAAGCCAATATGAATATTATAGAGTATTTGCATTTGAGATGATAAGTTTATCTAGCATGGTGCTTGTTATCTGAGGCCAAGTTCATTCGACTCGTAATATGAAGCGTAGATTCTAATATTATTTATTATGACTTGATTCGATGGGATAATTAGTACATTAACTTTATTGAATGTGAACGATTGAGCGAAAATGCTCGGGTGCTAGTTAATGGTAATACATTTCTGAGCTTTACTAAAAGTAAAATTAAGTTAAGCTTTTTTTTCTCTCTAATTACACATGGTTGATAGTGAAAAGTTGATTTAACAAGTCACAAGAAACAAACTAAAAGCAAATGCTCTACTCCATTATAGCACTTGGCATTTAAAGAGAAGAAAAAGAGGCCATAATACAGTAAAGAAAGGCATTACACCATATGGAGTTCATCATAATTTGCAGAAAGGCATTACACCATGTGGAGTTCATCATAGTTTGCAGAAAGGCATTATTACACCATATGGAGTTCATCATAGTTTCAGAAAGGCATTACACCATGTGGAGTTCATCATAGTTTGCAGAAAGGCATTATTACACCATATGGAGTTCATCATAGTTTCAGAAAGGCATTACACCATGTGGAGTTCATCATAGTTTGCAGAAAGGCATTACACCATGTGGAGTTCATCATAGTTTGCAGAAAGGCATTATTACACCATATGGAGTTCATCATAGTTTCAGAAAGGCATTACACCATGTGGAGTTCATCATAGTTTGCTGAAAGGCATTATTACACCATATGGAGTTCATCATAGTTTGCAGAAAGGCATTATTACACCATATGGAGTTCATCATAGTTTGCATAAAGGCATTACACCATAGGTAGAAGACTCCATCTAATTCTCATCCTTCTTCAGTTTCGGCACTGACGATATCATTTGATTGATATCCACTACTTATGTGAAAACTATTGAACAACACAATCACAGCATTCAGCACAAGAATGCACAACTTTTTTTTCTCTCTCTTCAGCAACATGGAAACTCAGATTAGCATAAAAAATCTACAAAGAGAAATTACAAATAATTCCCCCTTCCAATTTCTCAATTCACATGTGAAATTTTTGTTATCATTTTAAACATTCATCTACAATAGTATTATTATCATTTTGTATATAATACCATCATACTTGATGTTCACAACCATTTAAGCCCAGTTGTTTGAATCCTTGAAGCTAATTCCTTCTCTAGCTAGGTAATTATAACAAGCACTGTCACTTTTACAAATCTATCATTATTATGGAACCAAGCAACCTAATATTTTCACATTGCTGGTAAGTTAAGTTACCGAATCTTTGGTTAATTTCTGCATAATAGAATGCAAATGATCTTAGAGACAGAGTGGCCAACCAAACAGCTGCTGACAATATAATAGCCATTGTTGCAATCATCAGATTAAACAGAGTTTTGAGTCACAGTGAGATTACATATTGCACCAACAGCCAACCATTTCAAAAACTCTTCTCTCTGCTCCAAAAAAAAATAATCTTTATATATGATTTGGAGTAATTCATCAAAAGAGCTCATTCCAATCGATCTCAATGAGTTCATTCATAGCCATCGTGTACACCATGTGTAAGAAGACTCTCTTCCCAATATACATGCATATATATACATCAGTTCCCAGACTTCCCACATTTACATCAAAGCATAAGTTGTGGAGATTTCTCGACAAGGAAGTGAACACGGCATTGGAAAATAATTCCTAGGAAGGACAAGATCGAGATTTACATTAACTGTTATGTAAAAGAATTAAATGATCGCGAAATCAACAAAATTTCAATTGAGAGTATGAGAATGCCCCTACAAAACTTGCTACCTTTGAGGATGTAGGATGTTCAGCACCTTTCTCTTTTGGGATTTGCTTTTTTGCTCATGTCATTGACAAAAGAGCAATTCCCTAAAACAACAGAGAGAGAGAGAGAGAGAGAGAGAGAGAGAGAGAGAGAGAGAGAGAGAGAGAGAGAGAGAGAGAGAGAGAGAGAAGAAAAAGGTTAGCACCAAGTGAGAAGTCCAGTTAAGTTTAACCAAAGAAGTTTAAACTCATGAAGTGGAATAAGTTATCCCCTATCCAATGAGTATTTCTTTGGATTAATTCCTTATGGTTTTCTATCCGTAACAATTTAGAATACATTTCCCGTTGTCAACCATAATTTCTCGATTCACGAATCAATCAATATAACCACATGCTTTTTTCAGTAATCCTACATTTACATGTGAAAGTGCATTTACACAGTTCCTAGCAATATATTTAGCTCATCATTCTCTTGCATTCCACAAGTCACTTCAAAAAGAAAAAAAAAAACTTAATGAGGTATCTAAAAGAATTTTGGATTCATGAATAATTTCTTCTTCTCTAATTTATATGTTTGAACTAAGGTTTCATCTTAGCAATTTCAACAAATACATCCATCCTTATGCATCAATTCGTAATTTCTCTAAGTAAAAAAGAAACTTGAAAAGCCTTATGCTAATTTGAAGAGTACCAAACAAAAAGGGCCTCCTTAAATGTAATTTAGATTACCTTACACTGAAATCTAATTGACCTTAAAGAGTTTTCGAAATAATACCTTCTTCAATTTATTGTGATGGAAGATAATGATGATACATTCTTGACACCCTTACCATATCTTCTTTGCTATCTTGTATCATTTTCTTCAAACTTCCTAAAACTGAGGTTGAAAACTGTGTCTATATTAATGGCATTTTATGGTAGCATGACAACATTCCTAAGCCATCCAAATCATAATTAAGATTTCCTATTTAAGTGAAGATACATGTGGTCAGCAAATTCCACATGAATTGACTTGCATCAACTGTGTGGATCAATAAGGTTGGATTCCTGCATCTCCCAACACACAGGGAAGCAACATTCTCTGCATCCCAATATTCTTCTTACAAAGGAACATATTCCTCCTCTTCAGTCACAATCTGAGTCATTGTTGTCTTTTGATGCTTGCCGTCGTGAATCTAGCTAGATCTGCAAGCATGAACTCAGAAATGGATTTTGCTGGATTCATGCAACACCGCAGCACTCATGTTGAAAGGTTCTCTTAACCTGCAGTAGTACAAAAAAAAAGAAGAAAAAAACACTTCTTTTTCTGTTTTCTTTCCGGAAAAAGGGTATCGATTAGTCAAAAATATTTTCATGGGAATTTAAAGGAAGATAGTGTTGTTTCTACTTGTGCTTTTGTTCTTTGAGACATTCTATAAAAAGCTTCTCATTCTAAAGAAGATGTGAAAGACTGAGATATAAGATTGTAATGCTCAGCAGCAGTCCAAACACTCCCAAGTCTCTATTAGCTTTAAACATTCTTCAAGCACAAATCTTGTTTTGCTGGCAAATTGCTATGCAGGACAGTCTAAACTTGCATCCCCTTCATTGAATTTACATGTTTAATGCTGTGGATTACGATGCCAAAGTAGGTTAATGCCAAACTTGCATCCACTCCATTTTGCTCAAAGGGGGAAGCAACAGGTATGCAATTAAAAGGAAAAAGAAGCCACAATGCATGTTATTTCTAGTAAAAACTACTTGTCCAGAATACATTTAGTGACATAACTCCCCTGATTTGCTCGAGTTTGCACTCTACTGAGTGCTATGAAGAAACATAACGTAAAACATGCAGAAAGATGTTATATAAATAGATAAAATTCCAACCAGCTAATTCTTGTCCCCGATCAGTCTCAGCAACGATAAGAGCACTTCGTTCATGTCTGGCCGGTCCTCTGCAGAAAAGCTAGTGCATGACAAAGCTAACTCCAACACCCCCGTCACTCTTTCTTCTTCTATCTCACTCGCGAGGTTCATGTCGCCGTCTATTATTTGGAGAACACTGTCGAGTCCAGTGACAATGGCCTTCTCCACAAGCTGCTGCAATGTAAGGGAAATACCATTTTCTTCAATCAATCCCGTAGGCCTTCTCTTGGTGAATAGCTCCATCATAACCACTCCAAAGCTGAACACATCCACTTTTGTGCTCGCTCTCCTCATATATGCAAACTCTTCATAACACAGACACTACTTAGCACAAAAACTACTTATACAGGGCAGAACTACTTTTTAGCAACAACACGGAACTCAAATTAGCATGAGAATTGTATTAAGAAAATTATCTAGCATGCTTTGTCCAACCTACAATGATGGTCGCTGATGAGTAATTCAATGTAATTTGGTTGATCCAGAATGAAAGTGCATATTTCAACTTCCAAGACATTATATTTTCACAATTAAATGAGTTAAGGAGGTTGATTACTTGCAGCAATACATATATATATACACACACTTAAGAAATATTACTATTACTAGTTCAAAGAAAATGGAACCTTAAGGATCACCTGGTGCCATGTAGCCAATGGTGCCTTGGAAGGCTGCAGATGAGGTCTGGTTGCTTCCATCCTGCAAATGAACTCCCAACATGCGAGCTGTACCAAAGTCACTCACATGGGCAACCCAATCTCTATCCAAAAGGATGTTTGATGGCTTGAGATCACAGTGAACTATAGGGAAGTCATAGCCTGAGTGCAGGTAAGCAAGCCCGTTTGCAACAGAGATGCAGACCTGCAACCTTTCATAGATTGTCCACCTCGAAAAATTGATTTGTGGACTGTGTATGATGCTTTCCAGATTTCCATTCTCCATGAACTCCAGAGTTAGAGCTTTCATTTTCCCTGATTCCCAAGCATAGCCCAACACCTTAACCAAATTCCTGTGCTTCAATCTGCTCAAAACCTTCAGTTCAGTGAAAAAGCATTTATCAGACTCAACAGGAAACTGCTCCAAGTTTAGCCTCTTCACAGCTACAAAGTGCTCATCACCTTCAAGCCTTCCTTTGTAGACAGTGCTCAAATTGCTCCGACCTATCACATTTTCTTCACTAAATGACTCTGTAGCAACCTCTAGCTCACTCCGTGTGAATCTTTTCAGGTCTGGGATGAGGGGAAGTTCAGTACTAAGCTCCGTGGCGTGATGTGAGAATTGATTTTTATCACGTTTCCAGAAGCAGATCAGTCCCACAAAAAGCACTAGCAGGAAAACAAATAGAGAGCATAATGTAATAACAATGATCAATGCCTTTGTTGTCAACTTCTGGCTTCCTTTCTTGCAGGTAGAAGAAGAAGTTGAGCCACATAGTGCAGGATTTCCTTCCAAATTCGATGAAGACAAATTACTAAATATCCCACCTTTTGGAATGAACCCTTCGAACTGATTGAAAGAAAGGTTGAGTGTTTGTAAGCTTGTAAGATTAGCCAAGCTCTCTGGTATCTGTCCGCTGAACCGATTGTGAGAAACATCAAGGGAGACAAGGCTCTTTAGCTCTGATATGCTGCTGGGAAGTTGTCCGTATAACTCATTGTTTGAGAGATTCAAGCTAGTAAGCAAGTCAAGCTGAGGAAAAATACTGGCAGGTAGCTCACCTGAAAATTTATTAGCAGAGATGTCCAGCGAGTCCAAGTTCTTACAGGCCTTCAGCGAAGCAGGAATACTCCCTGACAGTTGGTTGTTTGAGAGATCAATTTCTTGAACCATTTCTAGACCACCAATTTCCATTGGCAGAGAACCTACAAACATATTATTTGATAGATTCAAGTACATCTGCATGTTTGACATGCTTGCCATCACAGCACCTGGAATCGATCCGCTTAGCCGATTGTGCGAAAGATCCAACGTGAGAAGTCGCCGCAGATTCTTCATAGCTTGTGGAATTGAGCCATTAATCATGTTATCGTTGAGGTACAGATAAGCGAGCTGTTGGAGATTTCCCATGGCATCTGGGATAGGCCCTACAAACCTGTTGAACTGCAGATCCAACAGAACAAGCCGTTCCAGTTGAAACACCTGCTTGGGAATCTCTCCTTCAAGAGAATTCTTTCCAAGGAAGAGTCCCTGAAGACTTGACAGCTTTGAGATCTCTGTAGGAACCTGACCAACAAAATTATTGCTATGAAGCTGTAATTTGAACAACATGCTAAGATTTCCAATCTCTGGTGGAATCAATCCAGACAAGGAATTATGCTGCAACTGTAAGATCCCTAAGTTGGTTAGTTTTCCAATCTCTGGACTGAGTGAGCCGGTTAACTTGTTGACTGCCAAGTCCAGAGTTTTGAGCTTGCTACAGTTGAACAGATCTTCAGGAACGCTTCCAGAGAGCAAATTAGATCCAACCGAGAAGAACGTGAAGTTCTGCAACTTACCCAACCCAAAAGGTAATCCCCCTGTGAACTTGTTGTTAGTAACACTTACATTGAATAGATGAGAACAATTGGTGATGCTCACTGGAATCGGGCCATCCAAAGAGTTGTGGTGAATGACCAAAAACTCCAGCTTGTGGAGTGATCCTATGTTCGGCGGTATCGGTCCTGACAGTGAATTCTCACTCAAGGACAGGTACCTGAGGTTCGTCAAGTTCATCAACGATGGAGGGATTTCTCCTGTCAATCTGTTGACATGAAGAGAAAGCCACTGAACTGAAGTAAGAGACCCAAATTCAGATGGAATTCGACCGGTTAGCTCATTCTCAGAAAGACCAAGAGAGACTAACGACTTGCAACGGGATAGGGAAGCAGGAATCGTTGAATTCAACTTGTTGTCATGTACACGTAAAGCTTTTAGCTTGTGTAATTCTCCGAGCTGAGGGGGAATGCTGCCACTGAGTTGATTGCTGTAAATGTTCAACAAGGTCAGGTTAGAGCACTGGCCTAGCTCAGGAGGGATGACACCAACAAAACTGTTCTCGTAAAGCTGAACAACTTCCAAATGCGAGAAGTTACCGAGCGCAGGAGGTATAGTTCCTGACAACTGATTCACACTAAGGTCTAGCGTCTGCAGATTTGTTAGCCTTTCAAATGAATCAGGCAAGGGACCGATGAGATAATTGTAATACGCCGTGAAGAACTGAAGATTTATCAAGTTACCGATGCATGAAGGGATCGTACCAGTCAGATTATTCGAACCGAGGATTAGAATTAAGAGAGATGTGCAGTTGCAGATGCTGTCCGGGATGCTTCCACTGAAGGAATTGTTGCTTACATCCAACCACTGAAGACTTTCCAAGCTACCAAATTCTGAAGGTATCAGCCCTGACAGAAGATTCTCACTCAGACCAAACTCACTGAGTTGAGGCAGAAGTCCGAGTTCAGGAGGGACCGGACCGAAGAAGTAGTTGGCAGTGAGATCAAGGAATTGGAGAGTGGAGATGTTTCCGAGATACGGGGATAGCCTGCCCCTGAGATGCATCTGGGGAAGGCTGATGGAGATGACGGCATCGGTTGATGGGTCACAGGTCAGCCCGCTCCAGTTGCAGTGATGAATGGTGGTGTTCCAATCGGCCAGTGCGCCGAGAGGGTCATCGGAGATGGAGGCCTTGAAGGCCAGCAAAGCCTCGACTTGGACATCGGAGATAGACCTCCTTGAGGTCACCACCTCTGCAGCCATTAGGGAGCAGAGGAGCAGCAGCAACAGCGGTAAAGTCTGTCTTAGCGCCATTTCCTCACGAAGATGGTAGACAAGTGAGAGGACAGGGAGACGAAGACGAAAGCTTAAATTGGATTCCAACTTGCTGATAAGAACTGCGGTTTTCATCAACTTGTGGTGAGGAACACGACCTCGGAGTCAGCCAAAGTCTTGGAGCAATCCTGTAATGTGAAACCAATCGCTTCTCAAGCCGACATGCCAAACAAATTATGAATGACAAGAAAAGCAACTCCTTGCGCTGTGAAAAGCCTCGAAGATCCAATATTTTCTCATCTGAACGCATATTTACATCGATCTGTCGTACAAACATGCATAATCGTCAAGCATTGGTGGAAAAAATCATCAAACATGACCTGAACAACTGGTGGGGACGAAATATGACCTTACAGTCAACCACGCGCCTTCGAGTAAGCATGTAATGTGAAACCAATTGATTCTCCAGCCGACATCCTAAACAATTAATCAGAGAATCATCAGAAAGGCAACGCCTTTTGCAGTCACGGGCTTTCAAGATCCAATCTTTTCTCGTCTCAACGCCTATCTGCACCGATTTCATAAAATCGACCGTGCAAAAGCGTCAAAATTTTCCAGAAAAATTAACGTTTTGCAGCAAAAACGGCATTTTTTTCACAGCAAGAAAAAAATACCAATCCCATCGTGACGCGGGAAGATTGCCTTCCGAGCCACGCACTGGCAAACCTGTGGGACACGGATGAGGATAGAGTCAAAGATACGCCGCAGTTTTGACCAGTGGAGGAGGAAAGTGGGGTGAGCGGCCGCAGGGAAGTGCGCGATTAGCGAGGAAACTGGCGGCTGTACGGAGTCAATGAGATGAAAACAAACGACTGTGACTTGGGAATCGTTGACTCCGTGTCATCTAAGGGAATGAAGAACGTGGAATCAGAGACGACGAAGGCTATCTAGCTTTGTCGCGTGGTTGAGCTTGCGGACTTTCTTCGACTGGTGCGCGCCAGACTGGAACGTGATCTCTTCTTGGCCGGTGACGAGGACATCATCAACCTAAATTCCACTGCCAATGTTTAGATCCGACAAGATTGCCAAACCAATTAGCTACACACCAAAGATACGAAGGAGAGAGAGAGAGAGTGAGTGTCTTCAGCCAAAAAAACAAATTTCTAGCAACCTCATAATTTTCTAAAAATATATGCCACAGAGGAGAGGGAGAGGGAGAGAGGGTTCCATTTTGTTATTTTCACTCTCTCTACAGACATGGTTTTGTTAGTTTCACTTTTACTCAATTAATATTATAGCCTTTTTATTTTTATATCTTTTTAAATTAAATGATTTGTTTAATTAAAAGATGCTTTTTATGATTGCTTTTATTTTCTGAAAATAAGTTACAAATTTGAAGGTCAATATGTTTTTGGTTTTAGAGTATCAAGAAAAAAAATTTACATTATCATTTGTTTTATAAAAGAAATGTCAATGAATATTTTCATGTTTGAAAACTTCTATAAAACCTACACATGTGTATTAGTAAAGTAAAAAATATATATAGTAATGTCCAAGTCAGCCTAACGTTGTTCGAACCCACGTGTGTAAAAGGGATGAGATGACATGGATGTCACGTTAGCAAACGTCACAAATAAGTTGGCATGGCTATGGTTCAAATGCTTTCCATATTACTAACGAAAATACGTGGGCCTGAGTTTAATTTGTGATTATCGATTTGATATGGAAGACCAAAGCCAACCCAAGTTAAAATCATCCGTTTCTTCTCAATTAATATCATTCAAACATGACATGCAGTAGTTATATTACTCCAACTAACATGGTTAATTAATTAGTTACCTTAAGAATTTTAAATTTTATATTTTTAAAAATTACTTCGTCTGTTGATGAAAATATCATAATATTTATCACTGAGCATATGTTGATTCTACCTTACTTCCATTTATCAGTAAAATAAATGACGTGAGGAGAAACAAAACTAAATATTTTATATTCGTAAGTATAAGAATCCCAATATAATTTTTTTGAAAGTATAAGAACGAAATACTATAGATAACTAATTACAGAGAATAATTTATAATTAATCAAAAGCAACATATATTAGTAAATAAATGGTGCAGCGATAAGAGGACGACCTAGAAATATTTCAATGCTCAAGAATAGTAGGGTATGAGATCCCGTTTTACTACTAGCAATGCCTGCATTCGGATCCCATGATCCTACTACGGTGGCAACACTAGCTACCATGGAGCCATGTGAGAGATGTCGCGGTCCAGAAGACAACAGACACTTTCATCAACAAAGATCACCAAAGTACAACCAAGAATCACATGCTTCTCCTCACTCCGATGTATATGTATATATATATAATTGCAAAGGAGATCTTTGAAGCGGTGAAGGCGATAAAAGCATCTGAAACAAGCATGTTAGACAATGGAGATTGGAATCTCTGCCTCCTACTCCGGCAGCAGCAGCAGCAGCGTAGGCGATCCCGCGTGCTACTGGGAGGGAGAAGGGACAAAGGAAGACCAAGAGAATACGAGCCGTCCGATCACATCATCAGGACGAGGCTTTCCCCGTCGTCCGCCATGAGACAACAGAAGCGGAGTAAACGAAGGAAGCGAGCAGGTGCGCAGGTCGCCATGGCTATAGTTGCTTCTACTGCTGCTCGTTCTCAGAAACAAAAGGCTGGCCCGAACTGTTGTAGGGAAACGCATTTCATTACGGATCGGTCGAAGGGCGCAGTGGTCGTGGACCGAACCGGAATCGAATCGATCCGAACCGGTTTTATCTTTATTTCTTTAATTTCCTAATATATAGACACAAACAACTGATGAATAGCATAAAAAATATACTGATATATTTACAGGAAAGAGAGTGAGAGATCGAAAGAGCAAATCAACATGAGGAGGATTTTTTTGGATTAAAAATAACAATTATTGGAATTCTTTTTCATTTACTGTTTTCTAAAAATATTTTTGGGGAAGGGTGCAGATTTGGTCTCGACGCCGGGCCGACCGGGCCAATTCAGCCCGGTTACGGGCCGAGCCGATCCGGTCCTTCTGCTGCTGCGGCGACAAGACGTGGGCGAGACCCAAGACGGAGACAGGCTTGCCCGACCCGCGCAGGGAGCAGACGGGGACGACGTTGAGGACCGGAGCGACGCGGACGTTGGCGGAGTAGGACCGCTCCACCCCGCGCGGCCGCGGTCTCGGGCCGCCAGTGAAGCTCCCAGGGCTGCTCGAACTCCGCTCCAGGCCATGGAACACGATCTTCCCCGACGAGCTCATCCGCGGGCTGTCCACCGATGCCCCCCGCGGCGGGGCCGGCGCTGCTGGTTCTGCCGGCCGGAATCCGACCCTCGATGACGCTGGGGTTGCGGGGCGCGGCCGGGCTAGGCGGACCCGGGGAGGGACGCGGCTGGGTTTGTCCGAGTCGATAGAGAGCCTCCCGAGGTCCTCGTGGTCGGGGCCGGAGGAGGACGAGGAAGAGGAGGAGGAGAGGGAGATCCGGGAGGCGATCGCCACGGACTCGCGATCTGAGTCGCGGAGGAGAGGGAGGCTCAGCGACGCGACCGGAGAAGCGGGCTTGTGGTGGCGGTGTAGCAGATGCTTGATAGACGACCGAGGGATAGGATTCTTGGAAGCGGCAGGGGCCGCAGCGGAGGGCACGGGGGCGGTTACATGGACACCAGGCGGCTTCGCGAGGGCCCTCCTGAGGCCGAGGAGCTCGCGCCACCGGGTGGTGCACCTGGGCGCGCGGGGGGAGAACGCGTAGGAGTCGGGACCGGCGATGTCCACCTTCCGCGCCGTCACAGGGGGCTCCGACCGGGCGATCTCCGACTCCGGAGCCGGTTTCGGCGCAGCCAGCTGCATGGGCACCAGCTTGCCGCCGGAGAAGAGCTCGTCGGCGGGGAGCATCGTGACGGGGTCATCGTGGAGGCGGAACTCGAAGTCCTCCGCATGGCCGTCGGGGCGGCCCTCCCGCGGGGCGACGGGGGTGGGGTCGGCGGAGTCGTGGCTGAATGAGATCCGAGGGCTGAACCAGGGGAAGGCCTCCGGCAGCGGCGGGAGTGCGACGATGTTGACCATAGCGGACGCCATGAACGAACGAGACGAGGAAGAGGCGGTCAGTTGAGATCAAAATGCGTCGATGACGGCTTTCTTCTATATATAAAACCGATCGCCAGGATGGCCCTCTCCCTACCACTGATTCGTACCCAACTCGCCACCTGCCCTGTGATCGGAGGCAGTGATGGCCAGGATGGCTTTCTTCAATGTAGCCGAGGAGAAAAGGTGATGAAGAAACCTCTTCTTTCCTTATGCGAGAAAAAACAGCATCTGATGTGGGGGGGTGTCACCTCCATTCCGAGCAAACTCATGTGCGGGTGTGGTAAAAAAAGAATGGAGGAGGATTTGGACCACCCTCTAAGCCAGGATGGGACAAACCTACTAAGCTCTTGGGGCCATGGAACTCAGCACCCGGATCTACTCTCACATGCACTTATCCCAGCAGAATCTTTGTTAGGCTTTTCCATGTCCCCCATTAGGCATGTGCATGGATATAAATTGTTAGAGAATATCTTATGCAAGCCATGTGATGGGTCGTAAAATAACTCTTGGCATATCTGGTTTCAACTATTCATTCTACTGGGGAAGGAACAATAATGATTCTGATTGGGATTTACGAGTGCTGCGTATAGCTCTCATCTTCTTCTCCTCTCGGTTGGCTGGCTTATGGATTCTGATTTAAGTTGGATAATATATTAGGATTGAGATTCTAGTTTGATCTAACAGAGGTGGTCTTCTACTGATCTGGTAGAAATTGCTGTGGTCGTAAATATTACGACGACAATCAAAAAATGCTTGGTCTTTTAAACATGCATGACACCTGATGCACTTACTTGTTCTCTGTGGGGATCCAAGCTCCAGAACCAGTGCTTGACTTTTGTACCTGTGCATGACATCTGATGCAGACCCGAGAGCTCAACAAACCCTCCCAAGTATTATACTTCATTCTATCATTTAAATCAGCATATGATTGAAGTACAGGAATCACCTAAAACAATTACCATTATCCAAATGAACAATCATGTGGCAAATGCAACGAGTTATTTAAAAGTCCTAGTTCATGAAGCTTAGCTCACCTCAGATTTGGGCTCTGCTTCAACGTACGCATGCATACAAATGTAGTGTATTGTTATAAATAATTACAGAACATTTAGTCGTCAGCCTACGGTTGCGCCACTGATGGACCATATGATATATTTCACAAATGACTTGCTTTCCACGATGCTGGATTCACGTGGTGAAACATTATCACATCTTCATATGTTCAAAATTCTTGGATCTATAAATCAGTCAACTATCTTTTGTACAATGGCCCAGTCCGATGAGCAATTATTCACATTTGGCTGCTCCATGCACAACGGCCAGGAAAAAGAAGAGAATCCCTAAGATCATAGCCCAGCTGCCTAGGCAAATCGAACCATGCAAGAATCCACCGTATTCTTTATGGAAATCAAAAAAGAATGATCCCGCCAAAACTTTGATGAGGCGTAAGGGGGATTTGATAAGTCAAACTTCATACCGGAAAGAATAGTGGCCGGATGGCAATGTCTCTTCTAGATCCCAGAGATTCCAGCAGTTTTATCGCAGACGTAACAGAAATCTGAAAAATCATCTTAAGTTGCTTCTCTACTCTTATTTATGCACATTCTTCTGTATCTCATCTAAAAGGGCCCCGTATGCTGTTCTCCATGTGCTGCTTCCTGACTTGCTGCGGAATATTTTCTGCATCATCCTTAATTCTTTGAGGCTTGCCTTCTTGAAGAACCCTCCTAGTATATTCTGAACCTCTTCTACTGATTCACCAGGGTTGTCATATGATGCATCCTCTTCCATCTTAGTTGATAAATTTACTCCAAATAATTTTGTCTTATCCTGATGGGAACTACCTGTGCCAACATTAGCGTCGAAAGTCGTCGGAATTGCTGCAGGCAGATCTTTCACATCCATCCTCTTCGAGAAAGAAGAAGGTGAAGTGAACTTACATTCCCAGTACTCTTGACACTGATGGTAAGGATCGAGAGCTTCAACAACCTGTTGACGTTCTAGTCAGGAAAGTGATATAGAGTAGAGATACAACAGCTTAATGCAATGTACTTTAGATATTTTTATAAAAGAAAACAGTACTTGAGATTTAAACAAGAGGATCAATAATCACTAGCAAGAAAAATTCACCTCCAGACAACCTAGCAATTGGATTTTCAATGTTTTGCATGTGACAAACTACCAGGTATAATACAACTAACTAGGTTAGCAAACTTTAACTACTACAAGCACTGTTTTCGTATTACAATATTTTATGGCATTCATATTACAATATTTTTATAACCAGGTATTCAACAAATCAGAAGCTACTAGCAAGTTTACGATGGTAGATTTTAATCAAAAGTTTGGGCTACTAGAAACTAAACATAAAGAAGGCAGACTTACTCGAATAATTGAAGTAGATAAGAACCCAAACATTTCAAGACCATCCATGGATTCTGGGCTTTGTAATTCAGGAAGGCCTTGCTTTCCAAGATTATGCTGTCTAACAATCTCTTGATTCAGTCTTTCCCGAATCATTTCCCAACACTGTAAAGCAGACGAGGCCGTGAAGGACATCTCTGGGTTATTTTCCACTGTCACCTAAATAAGGTAACAAGCACAAAATAATTGATCTAGATTAGTCATTTTTTATGTACATCGGAATTACAGTCCAAAGACTAGCTTGCTTTATGAAGATTGAAAATAAAAAAGGAAAAAAATCATGTCCGACAAGGAATGGAAACAAAAACATGGAAAATGAATGCATCTTGAAAGAGTATGTGTGAGAAAGAAAATAATTGCTGTAGTTTGTGATGATGCTAGTTCTTTACCATGAGGATGGACCTCTTTTTGCTGTCCTATAGTAGTCATGCTATTATCTGCATCTAATCATATAAACCTATTTGGCTAATATCATTTTTTATTATATATACCAAATAATTTGCATACAACTACTTTGGCAATCACAAGTTATTCTAGCGGCCACTGCTTCAGCATTGGGCTTGGATAAAGAGACTTTTCCATAGGATAAGCCTGCGAGGGAAGTTACTTGAACAATACACATGAAATGCAACCACCAAAACAGGATATCAGCAGAGCAAAAGTTGATGCAAATCCAAAGATTCTAACCTTGAACAAAGGTCCCAAAAGTCCAGCATCTAGTACTTCTGAAACATAATTGCATAATTTTGTCGGATCGAGCACACTGAAGAACTTGACACGGGTTCTGAATCCTGTAAAATCAATTAGCCAACCTGGTTAATAAATTATTAATCAGCAAAAACCTTATATTACTGAACTGACTGAAATATACCATTTGGAAAGATGGCTTGCCTACTGCACCACTGCTTCCCATGCATCACCTTTCCAAAGTTAAGAGGTTCAACACAATATTTAGGCATTGGATGAATCATCCCCAAGTCATGATCGCTTTGATTGACAGCATTAGAATGGTTTGAATTATCCCTCATAGATTGACTTCGTTGACTGCCTGAAGGTGATGAACTATACAGATCATGCTGTAGGTCAACTCCAAAAAGTCTAGGACTAGATTTACGTGGGAGTTCAGTATCTCTTGAACATGATGCTTGATTTAAATTTCTTTCGGAAGAAGCATGGGAAGAACCCAAGTCAGCCCAAGGACCGAGGGACATTGAAGACCCACAATCAGAGCCTGTTCCAATTATGTTTTTATTTTTTCTCATGATATCAGATTCCATTTGGATTCTGACAATGCCACAACCATTTACACCCATAACCTTGAAATTTGAGGAGCACTCCTGTCTAGAGATATCAGAGTTCCAAATCTGCTCTTCCTTAATGGTGCATATCACTGGTTCTGTGCACTCAACATGACACCCTTCAGTTTCAACCTTAGGCTCCCCTGTTATTTGTTCTACATTCAGATCGAGACAAAATTGATGGCCTTCATCCTCATTACTGCTGAATAAGAGGATATTTTCTTTTCCTGATGATGACACCTGACATCCAACATCATTATGCAGCACTACATCTGATTTCACATCTAGAGGTGCTGCATCAGAGTATGTATGTGCACTATTCCCTTCTTTGTCACTTAAACTAACCATTCCTACAGATGGCTTGTTGATATTATGGATTCTTTCTGGTTCTTGAAAAAGACTGTGGCTCTTGTGCTCTATATTTGCAAGAGAAAGAGCTCTGGATAGTTGGTTATCAATCTCCTGATTGTGGACTCCATTATCAATATTCAAAGCATTTACATCACTCAGTGGTCTCTCGTGTTCTGAGATGCTTTTACTCAAGGAATCATTTGGTTCTTCCAGAAATTTTGACTGTGTAGGTAACGCCAACCCAATGTCCTCTAAATTGCAGAGCTTCACTGCACCCAGATCCCCTCCCAGAGCCAGCACAAGGGCATTTAGCTCATCCAAGTTATGTCGAACAAGTAAAATCATTTTACTAGGGTCACACGAGCATATAAGTTTTGCATGGGATAGACATGCATAACGATTTGGAGAGCATTCACAACCAGCTGCAGAAAGATGTAGATCATAGAAGCACAAAAAGCATTCTCTTTCAGTCGATAAATCAAAATTATTATCCATCTTTCTCACATTTGAAATACTAGAAACATTCTCCCTTCTTTTATGTTCCATAATGACTCTTGCCTAAAACAGAATTAGCCAGCACAGATGAATAAGAAACTTATTGCATCATAAGAATGACTTCAGTAAAATGAAATGTTACCTTAATGGCCTCAGTTAATACTCCATCATTCCCACAAAAATTTTGCCACGTCAGGGATCTTGGATTGTTACCCTGCAGGTGAGATTGCTCCAACTGCTCTTTAACAGCTTCCCATGCAACACCTAGCAGTAACTTATCATGGGACAAGGAAGTCTTGCGGTGTTGTTCACTATACAACTCAACAGCACATTGACCATGTGGAAGCCAGTTTACCGGAGCAACGTTTACTGCCTCAGCACAATTGAAGCCACAGTTGAAACCAGAGTGGTATGCTCTTGGAAAAGTAAGAACAAATTCTCCAGAGTTCTGAATGGCACGGTATACAGGAACTCCTTCAGATTTCAGGACAGACGGAGACAATTGGGTAACCTGCTCAAATTGGATGATAAGAAGAATAGAAGAAATTCACCTGACTGAGATAAATAACATAAGCTATACAATAGAAGTTATATATTATACAGTAAACTCCATTTTGAGCAGTAAAAATTATATATTATACCAGTAAAGTCTAGAAATCGGATGGCAGAGTTGTTCTTTAGGAGCTAAAAAAAAGAGACAAACTTAACAAGGCATTTGAAGGAATTCAACATATCAAAGTCTGATGTCACTTACAATAATCATGATATGGCACCGCATTGCGTACACCATTTACTTTGTCAGAAACAAGCACTAATTTCTTCTAATGAAATTTCAATTAGTTTCATCACATGTATCTTGATGTACAAACACTATAGATTGTTCTTGTAGCCTGATAATCCAGGCAGGAACTATTTTCTTAGATATCAAATGCTTGGTGATTTAGAAAAGATCAAGCATAAGAAACAAGTACTTTTGAGTCTAAAATTCAAATCAAATCTCAAAACCAAATTTTAGATTTTTAACAGAGAAACAAGTTTTAAAGAATGTAACTACAAGTAAAATTTACAATATACATGATGGGTAATTAATTCAAAGAAATAAATTGTTCAGAAAAGCCAAAATTGTGAAGTCTGGGCCGTTAGGATCAAACATACACAGTCACTCCTCACATGTGGAAGGGTTTGTGAGGAAGGTTATTTTTATAATAAACCCAATGACATGAAAATTTGTGTTATCAGTTACATAAAGAATAGATAAGTATCAGTCTAGCCCCAGAAAATAAAGGATAAAAATTACAATGAGAAAACTTTAAGGAACTTAGACATCCAAAATTTGGATTCCAAATCAAGTGTCAGGCATAATAATTAACATACATATAAAGGATCCTATGACAGACATGATAATGTGTGTCACAATCTAAGCCACACCTTATAGAATGTTGTGTGCATGTAATTTTCCTAAAACTAAGCAATACTGAATATATAAAATCAAGAGATATTGAAACTTGCCAATTCATGCAGCAAATCTGGTTGCTCTTCGAACAACTCGGGAAGGTGTTTTCGCATGGCATCCTCCAGCTTCACTGCATCACTGCCTGGAACCCCATACCATACTTTTGGATCACCAAAGTGCATGTAATTCAAAGAATAAAGATGGTGATCTTCCACATGCTGCCATGACAAAATAAAAAAAGAGATTACTGATCAACCAAGGCATATAAAGAACATTGGCAAAAGAAAAGACACTAAGAACAAGCTTAGTAGTATAAAATAAAGATCATATAGATCTAAAAAGGATGGAAACCAATAATTTATTAAAAAATATAACAGATGTCATTCTAACTATTTGTGGCCAGCCACTTGGATTTTTTCTACCGTTCAACTCTACAAAAGAGTAATATCACTAGGATAAACATGAAAGATAACAATCTATCCTGATAAATTAATTATCATATATTTCCATGAAGGCTTATATCGTTTGCTGAATACAAACTTTTGATGCCTATATTTTCTAATCTGTAAAAATGTGAAAAATTAAAATTTTATTCAGTGATGGAAAAGCTTTAAAAAAAAGATAACAAAATAATGATATTTATTTATAGCAAATCATGGGAAACAAAAGAAATGTGAAAATACAACTATACACTTACCCAACAAAATGAAGAAAAGCACATTCCCACATATAACCAAGGCACTAACACACCAGAGATATCCTCACGCTCAAATGAAAGAACTGAACCAGGAAGCCGAGGTAAATTATTTAAGTTCCAGCCTGAATTCACATAAGGATCCAATTCGGCCTTGTTTCCCAAGGAAGCTTTAGGGAACCCGCTACCAAACATTGCAGTATCCAGATCAGCACCATAATGCACCTTCATTTCAATGATAACATAAAATTGATTATTAAGTATTACTGTGACAAATTAGCACAAAGATAAACAAGCTAATACCTCAATCTCATCAGTTGGATCCTCAACTATCCGCCAATATTCTCCTTCAATATCCTCCGGGGAGGGTTGCCACTTCTTCTCATGGTTGTCGTCTTGATGCTCTATGCTTCCATTAGTACCCTTCACTCCAAAATATTGTTTTTTGAACTCATCAGCATATTTCTTGAATGTCTCAAGTGTAAAGTCTGATCCAGACTGAAAACCAAACTTCTCATCTGTGTCTGAGCCAACAGATTCATTTGTTTCAGAAACAGCAGAGGCATTCCGCCTTCGAGTCATCCCAAATCTCAAGCGCTTTCTTCTCTTTCTTCTTTTATGGCAACGATTCCTGAACTTTTTTCTAATTGGCTCTCTATTCTGAAGCTTGTCAACTTCTTGTACACGAGTGGTAAACTTAGTACATCCCCAAAAGTTATTTTCCTTTAGAGGACAAGGTGGTGACCAAGAGTGAGGTGGAATAATGCGACATATACCATATTTTTCTGCTTTCTCTCTTATGCTAGCAATGTATCCAAGTGTATCTTTGAAATCCTAAGAAAAGACATCATTTAGTTAAGACAAAGATATGTAAAGGAACACCATCTAGTAGAGCAATATCCAGTAGGGAGTTTTGACAAGCACCTCCTCAGTTGGATAAAACACAGGAGCTTCATCAATGACAGGTCTACGTGCTTCTTTTGGATTCCATCTAGAAGGCTCCTGCTATTAACATTTGCAATTAGTTGGTGGCTACCTTGAGAGAGAAAGTGTAAAATCATACTTGAGCAATTTACCCTTTCATATCTGGACTTGTTAGTGCTCCTCGATACATCATTCTTTTGTCGGGAACGTTTTAAAGTCCGATCCTATACCAGGGCCACAATTATAGATCACAATGGATATTTCAAAAATTAAGGTTTTTTTGCTTTTATTTAATCAATACAATTAAAAGGTTTAGAGAGAAACATCCATGTCCACAGTAAAAAATCGGTGTATATTTATAAAAGAAGATGTGCTATAAAATCATATGCTTATTATTATGGCCCATTATGAACTTATGGAGCAAGTCCACTGCTAAATTTACATCTAGAAACAGCTGGGTCCATAATGTAGCACTTGACAATAAATAATCTAATTTATATCTCAACAATGATAACTGCTATACACAGAAACCTAGGCAGTAATATACATATTGCATATAGGTTTATAATATTTTGGATTTATAACATATGGCCCGTAGTCTGAAATTTGGTAGATGCATAAGCCTAGCACAATGAGAACATGTAAGACAGATGTGGAGAATTTATTTACAAACCTTAATAGATTGTTCGCAGTCTGATTCCTCTTCAGAGCTAATATCAAATACGCCATAGTAAATCCCACTTCGGCGCCGAAGCGACCGTTTGACCTTCACTTCCTCGCAACCACAACTATCGCTCTCCATCTGCATCTTTGGAGACACAGTAGCCTCATTGACATAACCTGAATTTGCCACAGGAATGCCTGCATCCTCCCTCAAGTCAATAGGCATGTTGTCTGACATTGTTTCTTGTCTTGGTAGATGTAAATCCTTTGTAGTGCATGCTGTCCCCATGTACCTAAAAAAGGCCAGCAATTATTAATAAATGGATGCAGTATAAATACATTGAAAATGCATGAAAAACTTTGAAGTCAAATGAAGAAACAAAATTTAATCCCAGAAGTGTTTGGGATGTCCATGTGGAGGTTTTTATAGGTCACACTATATGTGTTTCTAGGGCATTTTCTTACATATCAAGATACTATATATTTCGAGCTAGATGTAAAAAAACCACATCTCTCAACTCAAACATATATTTGCAGCAGGATAGGTCCAAACTGATACCAAAATCCCCAGAGACATGGGGAATCAATTAACCTAAAAGCAGATGCGGCTGGCTAAGCCCAGATCAGTCAGACTCAGCCAACAATATTTCAATTCAGCAGCCCATTTAAGAAATATCATCATGTTATACATACATGTATCCATGTATATATTAATATTGGAATTTCAGCACATATTTAGAATGATGACAACATTTCAAAAGTGTAACTACACTAGTGCTGTAAGTGATACCTATAAAGTTTAACCGAAACCCAAAATTAGAAATCCAAACGGTCTGCAAGGACCAATTTAATTGGTTTGATTAAACCAAAGTGTATAACTCATATGGACGAATTACCACAAGGATCAATTGGGCTTATTTTAGATGTCCATGTTTTGAAGAGCATTATTATCAAAGGGTTTGGTATGATTTACGCAATTGATCAATATTTCAATAATAAGTTGGGTTAATTGTTTTAATCTGGAACATCTATGACTTAATTATAAGGTAGATCCACACATGCCACATAGAATTCTTTGAAACATACCAATCTTCTGTAGCCGGTAAGAGTTTTAAATTATATTAAAATTGCATTAATTCACCTAATAGGGATCTTTTAATAGATATAAAAAATGTACAATTTTGGACCAAAGGCCTACTCAATTATTGGATACCTTGATATTATCCCTTGAAATTTAAACCACATATGCCTTTTTGACCCTTTGTCCTTCTTGACCATGCTCCTGAACCAATTTTGACATTCAAGATGCTTAACATAGGTGAAGCACTGATGCTAATCCATACATGTGCCCTAATGGTCATATTAGACCTACTTCACTTAACCCTTCCACCATAGCGTAAGTTGTTAGTTATCTTTCATCTTTTGATATTGACTATTGACTTCAACTTTTCAAGGTTGACGTAAGTCTATTCCATTAATGGAGCTTTCTTCCACAATAGATCATATGTTTAAAAGGCTTTAATCCAAGACCTCTATAGCTAAATTCCATTAATGAACTAATGTTTTCTGCATACTGTAGAATGTTTAGTTAAATCTAAAGCATATAATCAACATTCCTAGGGCAAAATAATTGCTTGATATGGAGTGTCTAAGAAGGGATCAAGCTTCAATCTATCAATTGGTATGGACTAGTACTCACCGATCCATTGGTAGTTAGTACCCAAACTATTGTTTTGTTTTCTCTTCATATACATCGCAGCCTTGTTCATGCCTCCACCACAGTCAGTGAGGCCCTTGTCCTCAAGCGGGTGCCTCCATCGAGCATGAGGCTGCTGCCAACATCGGTAAAGCCTAGCTCCCTTAGCTGTTATGTCATCTCTGCCAATGATGCTCAGACAACAACCTTGCCTCCCTCCATTACCACTAGAGTGAGATGTTCAACAACAATATCATCCAGTGTGTAATGCTTGCTCTGTGTACTTTAGGTCATCGTAGTCCAACCAGAATCAAATCATACCAAGACCCTGTACACTGGTAACACTAATACCATATTAGTCCATCCACCTTCCGTTATTGATCCCAAATCAAAATTTGAAGCCTTGTTGTCTGCATCTATTGTTCCACCCTTGATTCATAAATGCTTAATCCCCTAGTAGGGTTCTTTAAAACCTAACTCCTTTTGGCCTATGATGGAACATTCAGCTACTTCCAATCAATATGGCACATCACCATGTCTTGAGGAATCCATTACACTTTTGTACATTCATCTTTTTTAATACCATTCCTCGATCTTAACTTATTTAACCTTATTTTGATTGACCCAATGTGTATCATGCACAAGATTTGTATTTCATATTTTCATTTTCCTATTTTTGTGAGTCTCAACTTAATCCTGATAACAACTGGATTCAAATACCACCTATCTATTTGCTGCGAGCTTCTTCACTCTCACCTTTTTATAATAGAAATAGTTACAATTTTGCATGTGTGTTCTATTTTTCACTCTCCATATATTGCACAGACATAACAATTCATTTGTCAGGAAACTGATCTATTTCTAAAACAAAATAATCACCAGCATATGTCAGGAAACCACATCATGGAATCAGCTATGCTTCATCAATCACAAAATTGAATAAATAATTTTGTACAGGTTAGTCTTTTCCTTCTTTTTATAATCTTTACTTCTAGAAATAAAAAAGGAGTTTCTTCTTTGCTAACCTTTATTTTGCACCCTAGAAAATAATAATAGGTAAGCATGACTACAGTCTTAAGTTTTTCTTCTTTTTTGCAATGCATGTCTTCTCTATATTCTTACTGCACTATTTTTTACTGTCAACATGAAATATGCATGTCAGTATTGGTACCAACATGGCCTGAAAGCGAAAAGTGTCCATCATAGATGATCTCCAATTCTGCCAATATGAATAAGCAGATGTTAATCATGTCGATAAAGTGCTTAGAATCTTAGTTATGTCACACCATAGTCAAAAAGCCCTATCAGAAGATGCAATAATCTGAAATGCCATTTCTTCTACTACTGTAGTACTTTTCACTTTATAATGCCCTAGCAATTCTGTTGCTTGTTAATTGCCTTGGTAAAGATCAACATGTTATTTATCTACAACACCTAGTATCCTTAATAACAGTCTTTTTTTAACAAACAATTTGCTTCAAAAATAGTAACATAGACCCAGAAACTTTGTTGCTTGTGTACACTTCAAATTTATATTTTTCATGTTAGACAACAATTCAGCTAAAAGACACCACTAACATAATTAGCTTTCTCTGATAGTCAATACAATAGATCTTACAAAATTTTGTAAGGTTTTAGGAACTACAGCTATCAATCCTACTATCCCCCAGATGCATCCATACTGACTCATAATAGTACTACAGTCAGAATCCAAAGTCACAAGATCCTGAAATATCAGATCAAGTAAATCTTGAAGGATGCAATAGGAAAAACAAGAAGAGATCCAAAAAGGGCAGAAGATTACGTCAATAAGAGCAAAAGTTCTCTTTTAGGAAAACTCAATATCATTTATTATTCATCTTGGAAGCCTATACATGCCTGAATAAAATTCATGACAATCATGCAGTCTACAACCAGTTCAATTGCTTGAAAAAAATAATATATTCACCACAGAAATGCATTCTGCTAAGGGTACTTTGAAAAGAAAAACAGAAAAACCAGGTCTGAAGCATTGTCAAGCCCAATTTCTTGTTAAATCTAAATTTTCTACAGTGGAGCTTCAACCTCTGTAATTTGACAAGAATTAGCAGCAAAATCTGATACAGATCAATCAAATTAAGGATAGAGATCCAAATCTATGTCATCCAAACTTGAATCCAGGAAACCAGGCAGTCGCTTTTTTTGTCCTGTGATCATTTGTGGGAGAGAGAATCGGAGACAACAACAAAATTCTAACTACCAAGGTAGATGCACAAAAAGAGAAGAAAAAACCCTAACCCTCACTACAACTGCTCCATACACTACGGATCTGGAATATCTATCCCCCGCCACTTCCAGTAATAGACCACCATGAGATATCACAAACCCTAGAACCGATCTGCAAAAAGAGCACAACAATGTCACTTTTGGAAACCAAAAGATACCAAACCCGTTACAAGAAATCCCAGAAGCCCAATCGGCAATACAGATCAGCTCCAATCAGAACTAAACGAGAATTCTATTAAGATCCACACAAGATGTAATGCCCATCAGAGCAATATATCAATCAATTGAGATCCATCCACAGAAGAATCACGCATCCTTCGAGAAAAAAATCTGTCAAACCTAACCAAGCAACATCATAACCAATAAAATTACCCACCCAAAGATGCAGAGATGCATCCCAACAAGTTCTTGAGAATGGGAAATTTGATTGAACGACCGATGATGATAGCTGAAATTAAAACAAGTGGAAGAGGGGAACCAAAATACCTTCTTGCAAGGGTTTCAGGGATGAGGAGGTGCGATGACGGAAGACAACAGCAACAGTATCACAGCCCACAAAAAGATTCCTTGACGACAGCACAAGAATTCAACAGAAAAAAAGGAGACTCCTCCTCGTTCATCACCACCACCTGTCCCTTTTCCTCCTCTGAATCTAATCCAAATCTTTACGATCTTACCATTTCCTAAATCTATAACCTCTCTTCTTTCTCCCTGACGACAAGAATTGGAGGATAAGGAGGTCAACACAAACACAATGAACGCAATCGATTGCAACCTACACGCTTTAACCGAAATCCGAATCCAACCAACAAAAGCAAAGAGGGAGATGATTGACATGCTCCACGGATGTGGAGAAGATCATGAAAAGACTTATTTACCCCTCATTTGTGATCGATTCTCCATTACGCCCCCAGAGCTTTGCACGCACCGCCCGGTGAGTTGACCCTTATGTTGGGTCTTCTAGAGGCCCCATGCAACACCTAACAATAAGAACGAGATTGACCGATGACTTTAATGTTGACTATAATAACACCTTCTTCACATACATGTGGATTAATTTAATAATATATTTATCATTACAAGAGTGATTTGGCCATCAATAACTATATTATTCTTCTTTAGAAGCTTGGGCCTCCCATGAACACGGCCTAAAGCTACAGCCTACCGAACGAGAACCACCGTTCGGTGACGGGATCCAACGCCGTGTCGTTGGATCAGTCCGTGTCCATATGTTAATGCGTGCGGCGGGGCAGCCGAGACCCTCGAGATTCGTGCGTACAGGATGATGTGCGGTCGCCGTACACAGATTTAGGAAACTTCTTCTTTGCACTCCCCCTCGCCCACAGTAAAAAATAAAAATAAAAGATAAAATAAAAAAGAAATAAATAAAAGTGCAGGCGAACAACGCCTTAAAAGGAACAAAAATATTTTTCGGTCCCCTCTGCGACTGACCAGCGTCTTCCACCTGCCTCGTGATTACACGTACGGGATGGGTCCCACGTGGTAGATCCAATGCGAGATGCGGTCGGTCTTAAAACGACTAGACCACGAATTAAACCGGTTCGGATCCGATTAGATATTATTACGTGACACAAATCGGCGCCTTCAATGCTGGATTATTTGGTCGATTTCTGCGAGCGATGAATGAATGAACAGATGGGAAGAAGTTTCTTGGAGAAGAAGAAGAAGAAGAAGAATTAGATTAGCATGATCGGCATAATATGACATACGTTAAAAATACGCACTTGAGCAGCTTTATTTTTTTGCTTTGTTGCGGGAAAGAGTAGCAGCTATTGATGTTGCCGCATGTGATTGTTGGGCTGGTAATGTTGCATTCTCTTTTCATCTTTCCATCTGTGCTTTTCCATCGGGTCCTAATTTTGCGGATCTCTCTCTTTTTAGCTACAGGATTATCGATTGTGACTTCCTAATTTCTGGCATTTTCTTAATGATCAAACCATTTTTAGAAAGAGAGTCTTAATCAATGACTATGATTTGATTTTTTTTTATTTGATAGAGTTAATTGTGATTTTATTGATTGATTTTAATTTTGTGGTTCCACCTTTTAGTTTTAAAGAGTCATTTTGGTGTTAGTTATCATATTTAGCTCTCATATTATGATTTGATTAATAAATCACCGATTGAGAATATTTAAATCTAAATTAATAATCATAGATTTATCCGAGAATCTCTTAAAGTAATTTCTGTTGGAAAGAATGGAAGGTAAGAAGAATTATTAAAGAAGCTTGAATACATTAACATGTCTTTCCTATTTATACAAATTAGGAGGGAGAATTTTCCTCAATAGAATAGAGGATTTCCCTCAACAGAGTAAATAAATTTTCTCATATAATTGAAAAAATCTTATCTGCTATCATGCCTCCGCAAGATGGTGCTCCTGTCAAGGATACCAATGCAAAGCAAATAGTTTATGAGCTGAGGAGGGCAAGAGCATATCGTTGCTGCTATTGCTATTTCTGCAGCTGCGACGGCGACAATAGCAACTACAGTAGAGGAGAAAGCTGTAGCAATGAAGAAAGCTATAGCAATGTTATAGCAGAGGAAGAAGTTGCAACAGAGGAGGAAGCTGCAGCGATGTTGCAGTGATGCTACAATAGAGGAGGAAGCTGCATCGATGCTATAGTAGAGGAGAAAGCTGTAGTAGAGGAGGTAGCTACAGCAGATAAGGAAGCTGCAACAGAGGAGAAAGCTGCAGTAGAGGTGCAGCATAGGAGAAAGCTGCAGTAGAAGAGGAAGCTGTAGCAGAGGTGTAACAGAGGAGGAAGTTACAACGATGCTACAATAAAGAAGAAAGCTACAGTAGAGAAGAAAGTTGCAGTAGAGGAGCAGTAATACTATAGCAGATGAGGTAGCTACAGCGATGCTACAATAAAAGAGAAAGCTACAATAGAGAAGGAAGATGCAACGATTTGGTGGAGACGCATACAATGATTTGCTCTTAGCAGGAGCTAAGGATCGACAATTGACAATAAGGCAACAGGCTGCGATTGATGCAAATCACAGCCTGATGAAGACGATGTTACGACGGTGGACAACCTGAGCCTAGGGTCGGTGCAGGCGGCACCGGTAAAGAAGAAGGCCGCATGAATGAGAAAAGGGAAGGAGCAGGCAGGGGTTGGAGAGGGATCCACTACCGAGGGCGAGTAGCCGACCACACCAATAAAGACCCTCATTGTTGTGGCTGCACCTGATGGCGATGCCGGGTGTGGTCACGATAGCGACTGGGGTAGCAACGAAGACATCACACGTCGTACAACGGACGGAGAGGGGAGTCCGATGGGGAAGTGAGTCCGATGGGAAAGAGTTCCCCCCTTCTCTGCTTTGTAGAGGCAAGGAATGTGGTGAATGGTAAGCTTCGATGACCGTGGAGCCTCGCTCATCTCACATGCTCTGATACCATGTTGGAAAGAATAGAATATAAGAATAATTATTGAATAAGTTTTATCGAAGAAGTTTGAATACATTAACATGTCCCTCTCCTATTTATACAAATTAGGAGTAAGAATTTTCATCAACAGAGAAGAGTATCATAATGGATCGGTATACCGAAAGAAAACATAGCACAGTGATCAAGAACTCCTCCGGTTTCGGCGAGAGATGAATCGAGCCTTAGAACGAAGGAGGGGAGTTTGGCCAGGAAGCCTTCTGGGCGATATTTGGAGCTACGGTAACTGCGCTGTGTTTGCAAGAAGAATTATGCATGCATTTATCAGGTTTGCGAACATTGCACTGAGAAGGGAGGAAGGAAGAAAGAAACGAGCACAATGTCAGCAGCCTTCCTGTGCAAAGGAAAGCCCTTGCTTATTATTGGACAGATCAGAACCAAGTCTTTTGTCTCTTCTTTTGTCCGGGACATGTTCGACTCCTGGAACCTTGCCTGCGGCACCTATCGTGTTCTTTTCCCCTGCTCACAAATTGGTGACAAACAACATGGGTTATCTTCCTATCACCACTAAGAGCAAGCGTACGAAAGCGAAGGACACAAGTGTAGAAGAAGCGCTTATCTGGTAGTGTATACCTTCTCGCTCTTTTCAGGTGTTTTCGACTGCAACGCTTCGTTAATTTTTTTGGCATGGATTGTGCACCCTTCGGGGCCGGTCGTCCACTCGTAGCGCTGCTCCAGCTTTGGACTCCCGTTGATTTGCAAATCCACTAGATTGCTAGGTAGGCTTCCCTCTGGGAGCATGTTGATTTCAGGGCAATCCACTATGTGCAGGCTCTTGAGGCTTGGAAGGGTGACCAGTTGACGAGGAAGGTGTTGTGGGCGGCATACTCCGGTGAGATGCAGGTGGTGGAGAGAGGAAATGTGATCCAGCCGCTCCTCCAGCCCACGAGCAAACGCTTCGAGGTCAAAGCTGCCGCGAATCTCCAGTCGACGAAGCGAAGTGAGGTGTCCTTCCTGAAGGCATCTCTGTAAAAGCGAGAGGTTATCGACGTGAAGCATCAACGTTGATGTCGAGGCCTCGTCCTCGGGCAAGTCCCACGAGTCACCACCTGCAAAGAATCGAACAACAAGCTCGTCCAGTGATGAAGGGAGGGTTATCAGTCCTGTTAAACTGCGGCAGTTTCCGATGGCGAGCTTGCGAAGACGAGGGAATACTTCACGGCGTTGCTTCGCCTCCACGTCCCACTTCTTCCACTGGTTCGTTATCTAACCAAAGCTCCTCCAACGATGGGAATGGTGCATCTGTGCTGCCATAAAACTCAGCACCCACCTCTGTTAGAGCTAGCCCCAGGATATTTACCAAAGGATAATTTTGGCAACACAATAAAGACAATAAAGCGGAAAGAATAAAGCGACAAGAACAAACAAAACACCAGAACACCAGATATACGTGGTTCGGTCAATTAACTTTGACCTACATCCACGGAAGAAAGAGGAGCAAATTACTACTATAAATGAGGGACACTTACAAATGCCTTAGGAAATGTTCCTAGGCCATAAAACACCTTCAGCTTCCTAAACAAGAAGACTTCAAACCATAAGCAGGTTTTCTTGTGATGCCTACAAGTCTGATTTTCCCGATGTGGGACTATGGGACTTGCCAAACTAACAAATCTCCACCTTAGCATGTCCCAACAAAACTTGCTCCACCTTCTTCACAAAAGCCCCAACGGGCTATCACCAACAATGAACACCAACCAAGTCCAAGCACTGCTTGAACTTGTAAACCGGAACATGCTTCGTAAGCATATCAATTGGATTGTCCTTCGTATAAATTTTCTGAACAAGGACCTTTCCCTCAGCAATCAACCACTTAGCGGAATTATCAAAAGAAACTGCATCTGAATAGGTAGTAGGCTCACCAACTTCACTTGTTTCTTCTGCAACAGACAAAGCATATGCAATCAAATTTGCATACCTTTGTGGTGGTCGAATATCTCTCATATGACCCAAACGCATATGCCATAATTTGGTGATGTCAGAATCAGACAATGATGATGACGAGACTGCAACTGAACCTGTGACAGTAGTTTCCTGCAGAATATACAAGCTACCAGACCTACAAGCTTTCATAACAATAAGAGCACTTCTAGAAACTTTCATAACTCTACCTTTAGCTGTGTATTTACACCCAAGGGCCTCTAGGGTGCCTAAAGAGATGAGATTCTTTTTCAAATCAGGAACATGTCTAACATTAGTGAGCGTCCTCACAATACCATCATGCATTTTAATTCGGATTGTTCCTCTACCAACAACATCACATGCAGCATTATTGCCCATCAAAACAATTCCACCATTACAAGATTCATATGTGGAAAACAAATCCCTATTGGGACACATGTGATAAGAACAACCTGAATCTAAAATCCATTCATTTTTAGACTTTGTCCTGTCATCAGTAGCAAAGAAAATATTTTCAAAATTCTCATCAGATGCTACACTAGCTTCAGCGGATTCAATAGTTTTCTCAACAAATTTTTCCTTTTACTTTAATTTATTTTTCAATTTAAAGCAATCAGATTTAATGTGCCTCATTTTATGACAATATCTGCATTCCAAATTTCTATGTCTGGATTTAGATCTAGATTTAGATCTACTACTGTCAAATTCTCTTTTATCCATTTTATCCCTGACAACCAGACCCTCAACCTGATTTCCTCTACTTTCCCCAGTGATATCTCTGTCTATTTGCTCCTTAGATTTTAGTGCAGATTTAATTTCCTAATACGAAACTGTTTCTTTTCCATAAATCAAAGTATCACGGAAATGCTTAAAAGATTGGGGAAGAGAACACAAGAGCAACAAAGCCTTATCCTCATCATCAATTTTTGCATCTATATTCTCCAAATCCATAACCAAAGAATCAAACTTATCAAGATGCGAGAGTATAGATGTACCTTCAACCATCCGAAGCATATACAGACTCTGCTTCAAGTAGAGACGATTCTCCACTGTCCTCTTCATGTACAAGGCTTTAAGTTTGTCCCACATGCTCTTAGCCGTAGTCTCCGTAGCTACCTCCCGTAAAACCTCGTCAGAGAGGTTTAGAATGATGCTGGATCGAGCCTTCTTATCCATACCAGCAAGATCTTCCTTTGACGTACCATCTGGAATGTTCTCAGCACCCTGAAGTGCCAAATCAACTCCGTCTTGAACCAGAATGGCCTCCATCTTGAGTTGCCACATGCCGAAGTTGACATTTTTGTCGAATTTCTCGACAACAATCTTTGTTATTGTCATTGTTGCCAAAAGATCCCAGAACCAGGCTCTGATACCAGTTTGTTAGAGCTAGCCCCAGGATATTTACCAAAGGATAATTTTGGCAACACAGACAATAAAGCGGAAAGAATAAAACGACAAGAACAAACAAAACACCAGAACACCAGATATACGTGGTTCGGTCAATTAACTTTGACCTACATCCACGGAAGAAAGAGGAGCAAATTACTACTATAAATGAGGGACACTTACAAATGCCTTAGGAAATGTTCCTAGGCCATAAAACACCTTCAGCTTCCTAAACAAGAAGACTTCAAACCATAAGTAGGTTTTCTTGTGATGCCTGCTGTACTTCTTGTGGTGTGTCTAACATCAAAGCTCAGGCCTTTATTTATAGTTCCAAGACGAGACAACAAGTCTGATTTTCCCGATGTGGGACTATGGGACTTGCCAAACTAACAACCTCTTCCACCTCTTCCATACGTCTTAGGTGCAGAACCCTGAGAAAAGGAAGCTCCCCGAGAGGGGGGAGGGATGTCAGTTGATGGCAAGACCACATCTCTAACCTCTCTAATCCCAGCAAATATTTGTTCTCCATCCAACACGGATGTCGGTGACCCTTGTAGCCATTAATGTTCAGCTCTCTAAGATCCGGGTGCGGTCGGAGTCCTTCCAGAGAGTCTTTGCATGCAGTGGGAGCTATGGGTTTCCCTTCATTGCTCCAGCACAGTTCCAGCCAGCGAAGGTGCTCTTTGTCCTCTAACACAGCGTCTGCTGCCTGTTCCCTGCTCTCTACATGCTGGAGACCTCTGATGCAGAGTCTGCGGAGCTGATTCATGTGCTTCAGTTGCCCTACATCGAATCCTTTCTTTTTGCGTTGGATGCGATAGTCCCTTAATTCTTGAAGATAAATTAGATTTCCAATCCACGGAAGGGCTGCAATTGCTTCGGTATCTGCATCTACACAACGTAGGTTGCTTAGCTTGTTCATGTCATCTGGCAGCGAAACACTCTTGGAATGCATCCTCAGAATCAACCACTGCAGATGGTAGAGCTTGCAGAATGACTTGGGCCACTCCGTGATGGCGTTTCCAGGCACCTCCAGGTGCCGAAGGTGTTTCAATCCACCAATAGCCTCAGGCAAACCACTTGCGAGTTCAGAAACTACTAACAAACGTAGGCTTTCCAAACTCTTCAAAACCATTTCAAGGGATAGATTATATTTTGACTTGATATCCTTTTGAGTGGACGATAGCCTCCCAGCGACTACAAGACTGCGTATCTCTTTCTTCTCGCACAAAGTTTCGGTAACCGCGATGAGATCATCGGCAGCAACATAAACATGGTGGGCCTTGTTCGGGATTCTAATTGGCTTGCTGGATTTGATACCCTCGAATCTAAAGTACTCACCATCACAAACACATTCTGCAAACTCATGCAGGATAGGGTGGAGCTCAAACTTGTTGTGCCTTCTCTTTGCATTCACGAAAAAGGATCTGCTCGACAGCTCTTCGATCAACTCCTCGCCTATGTCCTCCGTTATGGTGGTCTCGTCATCCCCCCGAACGAAGCCTAGGGCCATCCAAAATCTTACCAGCTCATCTTTCTCAAAGCAGTGGTTCCTTGGGAACAACGAGCAAGAAAGATAGCACTGCTTTAGGTGGGCAGGTAGGTCTTCATAACTCAATCTCAGCACCGCCACAATGTCACCTTCGGTTTGTTTGACCTCACAAATTCTTTTACGCAAGATTCGCCTCCAGTGTTCTTCCTCTAACTTGGACTCCAAAGCACGCCCTACGGTCACCGCTGCTAGTGGCGAGCCCCCCAACTTCTTAGCTATTTTCCTGCCTATGGACTCCAACTTGTGAGGTATGGCAATATGGTTTCGATCACCCAGTGCGTGTTCTCTGACTAATTCCCAGCACTCCTCTCCCTCTACGCCATCGAGATGTATGATTTCTTTGGTCCGCATCATCTTTGCGACGTTTTGGTTGGTGGTCGTCACCACAATCTTGCTTCCCTTTTCTCCAGAATTAAGTGGGACGCAAAGGTTCTCCCAGTTAGTATTGGATTCCTCCCACACATCGTCCAAAACAATCAAAAACCTTTTGCCCATCAGCCCCTCCCCAAGAATGTTCTGAATCTCCTCCAAATTACTGATCGTATGCAAATCGCTAGGCCTTTTAATTGCAGCAGATTCCACCATCTCTATGGAAAGCCTTCTGACATCAAAATTGTTGCATGCACACACCCACACCATGATATGAAATATTTTCTCTTTTTTGACAATGTTATAGACGAGCCTAGCGAGGTGTGTCTTCCCCACCCCACCGTGTCCTACAATAGCGACAACAGAGTACTTGTCGTCCCCTGATGCATCACCTATCATGTTCAGTAGCCTGTCTATGTCGTGTTGCCGTCCCCTGGCCGAGCAGGTCGACTTGGTTGGGGAAGTTGTTCTTCGCCAATCGGGGATGGCTACTCCATGTTGCTTGTTAGTGACTACACTGAATTGTGCTCCCGAAACGAGTATACTGATTTGTTCAACTAGTTTAGCGGATGTCTGGACAGCGGTGTTTAACTTTGAAGTTGTTTCAGAAGCAAAAGCAAATGCCTTCAAGAATTCTTTAGTTTCAGCTCCTACTTTTTGAGCGAGTAATGAAACTCTACTGACCTTGCCCTCGCCCTCGCCCTCGCTTCTGGCCTTCTCCTCCAACTTGTAGTGGAAGTCATCGATGATGTCCTCCACAGAGTAAACAGCATCCTTGACGTCCCACAGCCAAGCTTCCAAGCTCGGGTTCGTGATCCGTCTCTTGCCAACTTCGAAGATGGCCGCCTGAATCTTTCGGAGGTGTTTCTCCAGTTCATGTAGCTTCCACTTCTTGTCCTTCCGGTACTCGATCTGGTTCTTGATGTAGAATTTGATTATGTCCGTCACTTTGGCAACGACGGAGGACACGAACCATCCTGCTATTATTAGTTCCGCCATTGGAGAAGAGAGAAGAGAGGAGAGCAAGATCAAAAACAAAACCAAAACCAAAAATTAATATTTTGTTACTTGTTTTAAGAAACATGAAAGACTGAAACAAGCACAAAATAATATTGAATCTGTATCATTTAAACAATCTAAAGCAGCAAACAAACTGTCAACAATTAACTATAAATGGACTTAACCTAACTCTAATAGTCTAATTGCATGTTGCACTAACAATTATTTTCAGTCATTTTGAAACAAAGTATGATTTTCAATCTCAAATTAAATTGAAAACGAAGAGAAAGGAAAAAATAACTATTGAACACAAGTAAGCTGAAGGAAGAAAAAGAATTGAAGGATTATTGATGATGAAATAAATAGCAAACTTCTTTGATCAAACTAAGTTACCTATGTCATCATATCTCAGGAGAAAGATCAACATGGATTGTATTGAAAATAAAAAATTAAATTACCTCATAAGTATAAGCAGTCGGATTCCAGTCCATCAAACTCCATTTTGGCACCCAATGAGTATTATAAATTCCAGTCCTATTGATCCCTGCATGTCCTTCTGTATCTGTTTGTACTCTGTTTGTAATTTCATCCAATTGCTTCTCAACAGATGACTCTCTATTCAAATGAAGAGCATTTTTTCTACTTTGCTCTGTGGTGCCATCCACATCAGGAGAATCATTTTTCCTGCTTTGTTCCGTAGTTTCATCTGCACTATTTTCCTTGGCACCCTTTTCAACAGCAGAAACAAGTCTTCTCACACCAACCTGATGTTGAACCTCTAGTTGTTCCATACCATTTGTCATCTCGACCAATCTACTTTTTAAAATCTCATCTGCTTGCATTATTGCATCCTGAAGAGGGTCAACCACCACCTGGTGAAGATCCGTTCAACTTGATTTAAGGGTATTAGCCACCTTTTCAATCTCTGGTGTCGGCAAAGCATTAAATCTGTCACTGGGCTTCCCTAGATGCATAGCTGCATCTTGTTCTCTATCTATGTCATCCTCCATATCCTTGTCCACTGGAAAATTCAAGATACTAAGCATCACAAAAATTAAGAAGCTTTCAAGTCAAATCAAGGTACTCGAATAATTCAAGATATCAGGGAGTTAAACAACTAGGATTGCCAATATATTCGCTACTCAGATTAAGAAAGAATACAAAGGTCGTACAGAATCTTTGACTAAATAATGCCCAGAAGAACCTATAACAAGAAAGTAAACAGAAATTCTACAAAATCTTCAATGGGATCATGATCAGGGAGAACTTACAGGTATCACGTGATAAAGATGATATTTGTTGATTTGTTTCAAAGAAAACCACCTCTAAATTGACGCCATGATCAACAGCGGTGGATGATATTTCTCTATCCGTCTCCAAGAGAATCACCTCTTCCTTGACGCCATGGTCAAGGACGGCATCAGACAAACCAAAAGTGCTCTCTCCGACTCCACTTTTGATTCCTGAATCCTCATCCTTCTCACCCATTTCGGTAAAAGCTTCGCCAGAGGGCCCTCCCAACTCAATCCCGTTCCTAACAACAATATCTGCGGTGAACTCAAGAAATGGTGGCCCTAACTTCTCCGTGGCGGACTTCAAACAAACCCTAATCGCGTCCAATGCTTCTTGCCTCGTGTCCCTCTCCCTCTTCAACAACGAAGCCCTAACGAGGCCCCTCCCCGCTGCGGGCTCAATCTCCATCCTCAACTCCCTCAGCGGCTGGGCCGCCAAGATGGCTGGCCCCAACCGCTCGAGGTAGGCCACCGTGGAGCACAAGCCATCGACGAAGGCCCTGAAGGAGCCGTTGTCCTCGGAGACCGAGAGGGCGTCGATGACGCAATGGAGGGCGACGGTGCGGTAGGCTGCGGCTATGGACTCGGATTAAGAAGGTCGTAGCAAACAAACACCTAATTCTTCTACCCTAGTAATCGAAAATACTTCAAATATCATAATTTTTGACATGTTATTTCAGATTATCTAAATAGGAGAATTATTATTTTGATTAAAGATAATAGTGATGAAGAAGAAGATAAAACTAAAAACGATCTAAAATATGATGATGATAAGGAAGAGGTTACAACTTAGTTTATAAGTGTCTTATATGGCTGAAGATGAAAGTTGAGTGAGTAAGAATATGTTTTGTACTAAATGCATTTCTCATGATAAGGTATGCTTGATGATTATTGATAGTAACAACTTTGAGAATATAGTATCTTTGAAAATTGTGCATAAGTTAAAGTTGGACATAATCCCCTCATCCACATCCTTACTAATTATGTTTGTTGTAAAAAAGAAATAACATTAAGGTAACTAAAAGATGTTTAATTCCATTTTCTATTGGCAAGTATTATAAAGATGAAGTATCGTGTTGCTAGATGCTTATCATTTATTGTTAAGTAGACTTTGGCATCATGATAGGAGGGTGTTGTACGATGACTACAAAAATATATATTCTTTTAAGGTGAATGAAAAAAAAGATTATTTGAGCTCCATTATAATCTTTTAAAATCAGTGCATCAAAGAAGGAAGTTAATGTTTTTATGTCCTATGGTGAATGTAATGGTGAATTAAAAAGGGATGATCATGTTTTGGCTCTAGTAGTAGTAGAGGAGAATGATCAATACAAGAAGACATTAGCAATCATGAAACCAATTCTGAAGGAGTTTTAAGATGTTGTACTGGAAGAGATTCCATATAGTCTTCCACCTTTGAGAGACATTTAGCATCACGTTGATTTTATTTCAAGGGTCGTCTTACCTAACAAGGTAGCCTACAGAATGAGTCTCAAGGAGCATGAAGAACTTCAAAGACAAGTGGATGAGTTGGTGGAAAAGGAGTTGATTCAGGAGAGCATGAGTCCTTATGTGGTTCCAACCTTGTTGGTGCCTAAGAAGAATGGTTCTTGAAGAATGCTTGTGGACAATCGCGCCATCAATAAAATCATAATTGACTATCATTTTTTCATTCCGAGGTTTGATGATTTACTTGATCAATTGTGTGATACTTTTATTTTCTCTAAAATTGATTTGAGGAGTGGCTATCACCAAATAAGAATGAGGCCTGGAGATGAGTGGAAAACAACATTTAAAACTAGAGAAGACTTATATGAATGGTTGGTTATGCTATTTGAACTATCTAATGCTCTTAGCACTTTCATGAGATTTATGAATCATATACTTAAGCGAGAATTTTGTTGTGGTTTATTTTGATGATATATTGGTGTACAACAAGAGTGAAGAGGAGCATATGAATCATTTTAAGGAGATCTTTTTTATATTTTGAGATAACAAAAGCTTTATGCTAATATAAAGAAGTATGATTTTTTTACTCATAGTGTAGTGTTTTTGGGGTATATTATTTTGAAAAATAGAATCATGATGGATCAAAGTAAGGTAGAAGCTATTCTTAATTGGCCAACACCTGTTTCATTGCATGATGTGAGGAGTTTCTATGGCTTAACTTCCTTTTACAAAAGATTCATCAAGGGTTTCAGTTCTATTGTTGCTCCAATCATCGAATGCTTGAAAGGTGATAAATTCATATGGAGTAGTGAGGCTAATAATACTTTTAAGCTATTAAAAAGAAAAGTGATCGAAACTCCTATCCTCGTACTACCTAATTTTGATAAGGTGTTTGAGGTTGAATATGATGCCTCTAATGTGGGAATTAGTGTTGTTTTGAGTCAAGGTGAAAAGCTCATTACTTTTTTTTTAGTGAGAAGTTGAATGATACAAGAAAGATATATTCTACCTATGATAAGGAGTTCTATATCATTTATCGAGCTTTATCTTATTGGAGTCAATATCTTCTTGCCAAGTCATTTGTCGTATATTCTGATCATGAGGCATTGAAGTTCATTAATCTTTGGCACAAGCTAAACAAGAGGTATGCAACTTGGGTAAAGTTCTTGCAATCTTATAACTTTACAATCAAGCATAAATTTGGTGTTCAAAATATAGTTGCTAATGCATTAAGTAGAAAACATTCTTTATTATCAGCAATAAAAGTCAAAGTGGTTAGATTTGAGATATTTAAAGATCTCTATGAGAATGATATGGATTTTTAGTTCAATATGGCAGAATTACAAATCAGGTTCTTTTTAGCAATTTTTTTATTTTTGATGATTTTCTTTTTCGAACTAATATCTTGTATGTTTTATCTTGTTCTTTGATATAAGTAATTCTAACTAAAGCTTATGGTAGTGTTTTAAGAGGATATTTTAGAAGAGACAAGACTTTAGCTCTTGTTCAATCAAATTTCTATTGGCATAAGATGTTCAAAGATATGGAGAGGCTTGTAAAGCAATGTCGAGTGTGTCATTTGACAAAAATAAAAAGTTAAAATTTTGGTTTATACACTCCATTACCAATGCTTACTGCTCCATGGGAGGATATAACTCTAGATTTTGTATTAGGACTGCCAAGAACTCAAAGGAACAAGGATTCCATCATGGTTGTTGTTGATAGATTCTTAAAGATGTCTTACTTTGTTTCCTGCAACAAATCAAATGATGCATCTCATATTGTTGATTTGTACTTCAAGGAGATTGTAAGATTGCATGCCATTCCAAGAACTATAATGTTTGATCGAGATTTAAAATTTCTTAGTCATTTTTAGATAACTCTACGGAGGAAGTTGGGTACATCTTTGAATTTCAATAGCTCTCATCGTCCACAAACCGATGGGCAAATTAATGTAACAAACAGAAGCTTAGGAAACTTGCTTAGAAGCTATGTTGGTAATAACATTAAGCAATATGATCTTATTTTTTCACAAATTGAATTTGCCTACAATCGTTTCATGCATCATATCATTGGTAAGAGTCCTTATGAGGTTATTTATGGTGCTAATCCTACTAGTCCTTTGGACTTCATCTCTCATTCTACAACTAAATAATTTAGTGGAGATGCTGATGAAATGGTTAAGCAGATAAAGGAGCTATATGAGGGTGTTAAAGCATCCATTCAGAAGCAAAATGAGAGGTACATGCAAGCTATCAACAAACACATAAAACACAGAGTTTAACGCAAGTGATTTGGTCTAGATTCATCTAAGCAATAAGAGGTTTCCACCAGGCAAATTTAGGAAATTGAAGCCAAAGGTTGATGGTCTATTCAAGGTGCTTAAGAGAATTGACAAGAATGCTTATAAGATCGAGCTATCTAAAGATTATGAAATGTCTCTAACATTCAATGCAGTTGATTTAAGTCCTTATCATAATCATGTTGATGGAACAAATGAGGACTTGAGGATAAGCCTTTTTCAATCAAGGGAGATTGACATGGGAGTTTAATTTGCTATAATCAGCTTGTGTGGATCTTGATGATCCTATAGTATTCTCTACAGCCCACAATATTATTTCATAGTCAACTTGTCCATTCAAATATGACAGCTCATGGGTATATTCCTCAAACAAAGTTAAAGTTGTTTCAAGATGTTTTTCTTTATTACCTAGGAATATATTAAAGGGGTTAGTTACCGGTGGTAAAACATTTGATTTCGTAATTTTCTATGCATAAAGGGTTATTTTATGCACTAATATTTATTTTGATATTTTAAGGTTTCGTAATTTTCTACGTATAAAGGGTTATTTTATGTACTAATATTTATTTTGATATTTTAAGGTTAGAAAGGGATTTATGAATTGATGATATTAGCAGAAGCTTTATTGTAGTTTTCTTAAACTCTATATCTGTTTTCTTAAACTCTATATCTCTTGGATGTTTTCGTGAGTGGTGAATCTTTTGTTTTCAGTTCTGTATTTTGATTTATTATTCTTAGAGTTGTAAACTTTTTATATCTATTTTTTAAATTTTACTAAAGTATTATCATGTGTTTATTTTTTTTTTCTATCCAAAATATTTATTCCAGCTAATATATTTTTACTAATCCTTGATATCGAGGCATTCGAAACATATGCTTTTGACAAACTCCAATCCTGCCTTCAATTAGTATTTGGAACTAAGTTATTTTATCACAGCACTTATTAAAAGCATCATCCTTCATTATCAGAATTCAAGCTCAAGATGTCTCCCATAACTTCTGAGGAAGGTCCCTACTTAAACTGACACACAGTTGAGTTCAATACTTCCATTCAAATGCAGATAAATACCAATGTTCTACGAATCTATAACCTAGATAGGGTTCGGGGCATCTCAGTCTCAGTAACTATGTGATTCCGAGTGATTTCTTTAAGAGAGGTACAGCCACTCAGTGCCATGGTTAGCTCAAGCTCATCTCGAAGCATTTGAAGCACCTTCCTCACACCAGCCTCCCCATCTGCTGCCAGTGCAAAGACTACTGGCCTTCCAATCTGTGGTTAACAAGAGCAAGTAAAATAGAACATATTCTGCATGCAAGTCTATCGACAAACTTTTTTCTTTCAAATTTACTTACAAATACTCCAGAGGCTCCCAACGCTAATGCCTTGAACACATCTGTGCCACGACGAATCCCACCATCCAAGAACACCGGAACTTGACCCCGTGCTGCTTTGACAACCTGGTTTAGCAGGCACTTATTCAGCAATTCAGATAAGAAAACTATCTCAACCATCATCGATGTTAAGTAATTTTGCTCAGCGGGCTATGTAATCTGAAGATTGTCTGAGTTGTATTGTACTATTGCATCAATTTAGAAACATTTATTCTCACTTTAGATAGAAAGGAGGGACTGATGTCAGTATTAAACCCTTTGTAGGTACCTCTTCCAAACAATTAATAGTTGCTGGAACATAATCAAGCTGGCGAGCTCCATGATTAGACACAACAATACCAGCCACACCAGCCTGAATGGCCAGCCTAGCTGCAATTTCAAACAAGAATGCACAAACCATTTGTCAAAATTCTCAAAGCTTCAGGTACCAGCTAAGATACAATACAAAAGCTACAGTATCGATTGCTTACTGTCCTCTGCAGTCATGACTCCTTTCACTATGATTGGCAATGAAGTAATTGTCTGCAGCCACTTGACATCCTGCCCCAATACAAAGCAGAATCTTTTGATCAGTTAAGAGTCTAAACAAGGAATACTGAGGACAAAAACCCAACACTAGAGTTACAGGAAATGGCATAGCTAAAAACTAGAACACATTAACACCAGCTTCTAGAGTGAACTAATAACTAAATAATCTAGGGTGATTTTCTTAGAAAATATTCATATGTAATATATTTTTCAAAAGGTACCCGTCTTTTACTTTTTCCCCAAACAATATTATTAATTTAAAATAATATCCCTGAAAAGTTTTTTTGTTAATTTTTTTTGCTCGTTTTTTTACCAGTTTTCAGCTATTACAGTGTTTTCATTTGTCTCGTTTATAATGTTTTTCGAAAACATTTAAAGTGTTTTATTGATGTATTGAAAATACCGGAAACGTTATTAAAAATCTTTGTAAATGACATCATATCGTCTGTCTTTAATTATCATTGCTCATAGATCATTACAATATCATATTTTTAGGCTTGTAATTAGTTTGAATGAGGTTATAAGTCTATTTAGATCATTTATAATGTTTTCAAGGAGGCTTTACAGTGTTTTTGTTGTTGTGATCAAAATACTGTAACAAATAGGAAATTTATATATTTTTCAAATTAGGGATACTATTTGAAAAAAAAAAATCAAAATAAGGGTACAGATTGGGAAATACCAAAAACGTGGGTCTTTTCTAGGGAAATAGCCCAAAAATCTACGTACTACTGAAAATATTAACTTTGTTATTTTTAATCATGAAAATTCATCATTTCTTTTCCTGATATATAGATGTTTGTGTGTTTCAAGAGTCGGGAATCATCAGGTAAAGACTATTAGAGGTTATACAAAGCTACAGGTTGTCGCTAATGTGCTTAAATACATACCTTCCAGGATAGGGAACGGTCAACTTGGCTGGCAACATAAGATGCTAGACCAGAGTCATTTGTCTGCACCAAAACATAGTTACTTTCAATTGATAGCATAATACAAAGGAGACAAGTTAAATAATATCAGCATTTTCTCAGCTGCTTCTCACCCTTTCCATCTTTCCAAGGTCCAGATCCTCGAAGTTTTTGAGTGTCAGAAAGGGAGGCAAAGTGAATCTGCAATGAGCTAACAATAAACATTTAAATCATAAAGAAAACAAGCATATTCACCAGGTAGAAATATCTGACTGAGAAAGAGCTTAGCAAAAGGAGAGCCATGCCTTCAAAATTGTGAATACATTAGCTTTGATGTTAAGACAGATAACAAGAGTCAAATTATGATTCTTAGTAATATGTTAGTCGCAAACCAGTGCTATGAGCTTTGATGTTAAGACAGATAACAAGAGTCAAATTATGATTCTTAGTAATATATTAGTCGCAAACCAGTGCTATGTATGCATCCTTGACCATTTAAATTAACGTTATACTGCATCAAATTAAGAGTGTAGGTGACGGAAAAATAGCTCCTGGAGTAAAATAGTGTAAAAAGGCTTTTTGGCTAGTTACATCTTGGTAAAACAACAATGAGACAACTATACGTACCTGTTCTTGATGTCCGCTTCCCTCCGTCCAAGCCTTGGTGTATCTACTGTGAGCACAATAGCCTTGAAGCCAGCCCTTTCAGCTCTTTTAACAAGCTGTCTAACGACATCCCTGTCCTTGTAGACCTAACAACAAGAGTAAAACATGACAAGAAGAGAGGATCATGGCTAGGAAACATCATCATAGAATGACTAATGAACAAGTGAAAAAGAAAAAAGAAATGAAATTAAGCAAAGAAAAATGAGTGTCATAATTACATAAAGCTGGAAGAAGCGAACTCCTGGTCCTGTTGAAGCAACCTCTTCAACACTGGAAGTAGCCCATGATGACAGTGTCTAGGGAAAAAACAATTAAAAGCAAAACCATAGTGAGAGAGATACATAAATGATATGTTCTTGTAGTACGAACATGTTTATATTAATTAACTATAGGCAGCAGAACACCCATATGTACCTTGATTGTGACCTAAAATGAGATGCTCTACAGTTCCTAGATGTTGACATGTTCTTATTAGGAAAACAGAGCAATCCACGAGTCATGCATGTGGTTTAGAATTCTATCTTTTATGCGGCCATGGTGAGAAGGTCATAAAAAAAATTTCCTAGAATTTTCTCCATATAGTCCTTCAAAAAATTTAAAAGGAGAGAAAGCAACACAGGTGTCAACATGGACAAACTTTGCTGGTCTCGGTTACAGAAGATTGTTAGAAGAACTTGGTCAAAGAAAACATCTCTTTCAGTGATCAGAAGAAGAATAAGATGAGTGACAAACCATGATAGTGTTAGCTGCTGATGCTGCCCTTGCTGTTGCATACTCCCCTGTAGGTGATCACAAACTATGAGCTAATCAACAACGAAGTAGAACTTGGCTGCGTAGCGTCTTAGGCAGTTTATTAACATCTCTTCAAGCAGACTAAAGAGATAGCTATTGCAGTTTATATATTTATATAGAGTTAACAATTCTAGTAACTGGTATGAAGCACAGTAAGGACCTGAGACTAACATTAAAAAGATTGAAACATATAATAAAATCAAATTTACAAAATATATTGACTTAAGATTGATGAAGGCTGTGATCTTGATCCATTAGTCCAAGGTACAAGATCAAGGGGCAAACCTTCCGGATGAGCCATCTTCTGCATAGCTGTGGGGGCAATCATGATTGGCATTGATATATTGAAACCCAAGACTGTAGTGGTCATATCGATATTGGACACATCGATCAGAATACGAGGTCGAAACCTAGAAAACATATAGTGAACAAGGGCAGATTTGCTTTCAGTAAACTTGCACCTTTTCTTCTCTAACTATCGAACTACTATATTCTATCGAGTATGAATACAGAGATCCCATACAAACCAAGCTAAGAACAGAGATGCATAAATTGCTATCAGTAGATGCTTACAGAATCCTTGAGAAGGCATTTCTATTCTCCTTGAGTGTCCACTGGTCCTCTGCTCCCGAGGCATAGTAATCATAGATCATCTTCGGCAGTTTCTGCTTCGCAATCTCCTCGTACTCACAAACATTGGTGATCTCCATGCTCATGTTTGCCGGATCCCTAGACAACTTGTTCCTTCAACTCAATGAGTCTCGCGATTCCACCAAATGGTTTTATAGGCATGTAGTATGTAAAGTGATGCATATCACATAACAAAAGGGGAAAAGCATCCGCCATCACCTTTCAGGTTAACGGAATTCCACCAAAGGCCGGGAATATTGGAGGAAAGCAAATAAGAAACTAGAAGCAGGGGAAGATTTTTCTGAGAGATCAAGTGAGGACTGGTCTTTAGGGCATGCGCTGGAATGTAGGAAAAAGAGGCACAAAGACGATTACTTTTATCACGGACTTCGCCTATGGGAGGATGATTCTAACTAAAGCAGGACAAATAGAACACGGATGGTTCATGTCGTCGTCACCCATCTTCCCCGGTGGATTGGCACGAACGCCCTTCGACGTCATGGTACGACCGTGGCAACAGCATATAGAAAAAACAATCAAGTAAAAGAAGGATCACGGTGTTCTGGAAACGATGTTGATGGCAAGAACAACAAGGGGGATGTATGGCTGTACCTTCTCGTGCGTGCACGGGCTTCCGGCTTTACCTGCGACGAGAAGGGAAGCCGGGAGGGGGATTATATATAGCGAGAGACGAGAGAGAGAGAGAGAGAGAGAGAGAGAGAGATGTGGAAGCGCCCGTCAAAGCTCAAGTCACCAAAACCTCGAACCGATGGCTCATTGATCCCTATTTAAGTGAAATTTTTTATAAATATATATTATTTTTCATAATATAAGATATATATATATATATAATCGTTATAAAAATATAACATGCTAAGAAAAGGATGATAGGAATTGAAGTATTAGTGATCTTTGATTCACTTTACGTGATGTTCGAGAATATGCATGAGATTCTATTTTTTTATATTTTTATTTATATAGAGTGATGAAGAGAATATTATTTGAATCAATAATATATCGAAGAATAATATAATAGAGAGTAGTCAAGGAAATATTGTCTGAATCGATATATAATATATTAAAAAAAATTCTTCGTGTTGAATCTTGATGGATCGAAAATAGTGATAATATTAGATAATAAAAATAAATTAAGGATATCTTATTTTTTTATTAAGTTCAAATGGTTTTTTTTTTGTTTTTGAGTGTTCGATTCTCAATGTAATTTTATAACGATGCGACAAAAGTAGGAGAGATGATGGTAGATAAGAACATAAGACATTCATTCTATAGTTGCCATGCTGAGCAGCGATGCAAAAGCTGTAGTATGCCCTAATCATATGCATAAATTATTGGGTGGACGAACCTTAGCTTCTCAATCAATGCTCCTCTCGTTTTGTTTTATTCTCTAAATAATCTGTTTTTCCAAATAATTTGGTTATTTATTATTAGCTTTCTAAAAATACGTATCATTCCTAATAGAAATTATTGTGTTCAGTGAACAATGATGGAGTGGCTATAAATGTTTGTAGTTGATTTAATAACCTAATTGATTCAAATTATTGTTTTCCATTCTATAGTTGGTGAAGAAGTCTAATTAACCACTTGAAGGAAAGGAGTTTAAGCAGCAGCCTGCCATTAATGTTCGCACCCACGAATGAAGTCACGCCATGCCATTGCTTACCTCAGGTTTGGACTGCTTGATTGGAAAGAATCTAAATAACATACATTCGTTGATGATCTCATAGTGAGTCGGTTTGTTTTTTTCTGGGTTTTATCCGTATATAAACTTGATCAAGGATTGTCATTTCTTGAAACCATGGTTTCAAGAAACAATGTGCTGCCTTTCTCTGTAAACCTCCTCAAACAGTTTCCCCAATGGAGTTGGGAACTCTACAAAGTACTTGACAATGTTAGCAGTCAGCTCTCTGACCCATTCAACAATCAAAATGGAGTGATCTGGTGGAGGTGAGTTAGAATTCAAAGCAAGTAACCTCTACTGAATGGTGTTAAACATGATGAACTTGTGAGATATATATATATATATATATATATATATAGAGAGAGAGAGAGAGAGAGAGAGAGAGAGAGAGAGAGAGCATTTTGAATACAAGGCAGAATCGTGTCAAAATAGGTAAGAGGACTTGTGACAGGAGATGACAAGGTTGCCAACCTGGGAATTCTGAGTGGTGGTCAAAGAATGTGAGTATCTGCAGCAGTGCTGTCTGTTCTCCAAAAAGTTCTTTCATCATCTTTCCATTTGATTCCAAGGGACAGAAGAGCAGCCACACTTGTTTGTTGTTTACAGTGAGCACCAGTTGCATGTGAGATTGCCTCAGAGTGGAATTTGCACATCTTGGGTTCATCGTCACATAGGACATACAATTCACTGAGAAGCCAAGATTAAGTTTAGTTGTCATTTGCATGTAGTGATTAAAGAACTGAGATCAACAGAGGGCTTTGTGCAAAGAAAAGAAGAGAAAAAAGATTCCAATTTTTGTCTTGGAATACTAACATTTAAGTCCTCTCTGTGACACTTCTCTTTCTTAAATGAGAGTTCTGGAGACACCAACCACAATCACTTATTTGTTTTTATTGTTGGAGACTCTTGTGGGTTCTTCTTGATCATTCATTTTCCTCATGTTTTATTGTTTAAATTTTAGTGTCATTGGACTCCCATTACAGGATCCTATCAAGTCATCAAAGCTCTGAATCACAGGCACTGAGGTGATTCCAATAGACCATGCAGCCATCATTTCCCTATTAAACACTCTTTCATCATGTTAATACTCATTTCAACACCCTTTCATCTGTTCTACATTTTCAATGCAAAATTTTCTGTCAATATCTTTTACGATATGTACTGTTTACTAATGATGATGCAGACTACAAGACATTTGAAGTTCAGAAGGCTACATATCTCCTGTAGCTGATTCTAACCATAGCATGATTCTTAATCAACCATTATTTGCTAGCCTTTCAGCAATTTCAATAAGATAAAAGGCCAGAAAAGGTAGAGAATATTCTGCCAATAATTGTCAGGTACCAAGATGGTGGATCATCCTTCATTAAAATGGGAAAAGTAATTTTTTTTGCAAAAAAAATTTCAAATTCTTGCTACTTTCAAGAGTTGCTACATTTGATGGAATGCACCAAATTGTTAATCTACGCAAATGGTTGGATTGTTCCCATATAATCCACACAAGTGATTGGGTTGTCATGAGCTAAAGATCAAGATGAAATTGATCCTGACCAAATTTGGTACAACAACATATGATTTTTCCTGCTGCAGAGTAGATTCAATTCAATTTTTATTCCTTTTTTTTTGTGTCTATTGATGAATTTCAGTTGTTCAAGCACTGTAAGCAGAGATCATCTATTGGGATGTGAAGATTATTATCTGTATACATGAAACTTGGAGATAGCAAAGAACAAGTGATTAATGTCCCTCATCAAGATTTACTGACTGCTTCAAACTGCACTACATTCAAATGGGAGGCAACCATTGCTGTCATGAAGTCAGCACCATATTGGTTATGTACTAGCTATGTCCCATACACCACCACTTTAGGCCACTGGATGTCCCATTCATGAAACAGTGGTGTCCACCCTGTTGATGTGATCTATTAACTACTGTCATTTAACTCTTATCAAGTATATTTGTATTTTGAGTTTTGTTTAATTAAGGAAGCTTAATCTCACTTCTCTTTCCCTTTGTACAGGAAGTCATCTGCTAATCCAGACTACTCTGCATGGATACATGAATCATGCATTTGCAATCTTTATGTCATTGCTAATGTTAACTATTTGATTTTTTTTGGATAATATTTTTAGATTACTTAGTTATTTGGTTATTTTGAGAGTGATTAATTGTCAGATGAAGCTTAAAAGATTGTTCATGTCTAAAAATAATGGAAATCCATTCCATTGATCTCTGTATACTATAAATTCCTTTCACAGTAATTACCAAATGTTCAATTTTTTTTTTCTGATCCACATGAGCTTTTGAAGAAGCCAGCAAACACCTCCCACACATTTTTGAAGTATGATCAAGATGATATAATCTTCCACATATTCCCAAGTTCATCTCTCAATAACACTATAAAAGGAAACATCAAGCCATCAAATTAATTTGATGGGGTCTATTAAACACTTTGAATTCTTCCCCAAAACAGCTCAGGTATTGATGTCCATCAAAGATTGTAGAGTTAATTGGAGTAGTTTTAGATTGTGTTCTCAGATTCTGGTACTTCCAGCTTTTATCTTCTTGACAGCTAAATCCTATTTCCATTTCAATCTAAAACTAGTAATTCCATCAAAATGTGTGAATTTTACAGAAGAATAAAATTGTTGAAATGCAAAACTCCTTACTGATGCATGGCCTTCAAAAGGACTATTCATGATGCTCATCATCTTAAACAGAATAATGATTGAGATATATTCTACTGCAGCCATGCATAAGAGACTTTTTTTTCCATCACTTCATGAGTAGCTTCATAGTTTTCCTGCTTCGAATGTTGATAAAATATTTTGGATATTTGGAATCTACTGTTTCATTGTGCTTTTTTTTTCTTTTTTTTTTCTTTTTTTCTGGTACTTGTATTTCTCGTGAAACATAAAAACCTTTATTACTGGTCACTGGGAATAAATGTAATTAAATTACATTTAATTTGAAATATTTTTTTTATATATTTTTAATATAATATATTTTCAAAAAAATATTAAACATACTTTTTTTATGAAAAATATATGAAATATATTTTATGAAAAATATAATGTATACATATATATTGATGAAAAAAGTTCTTTTGATAAAAAAAAACATAATATATATTGTTTAAAATAATAATAAATATCATGTAAGATGAAGAGGTTCTTTTCAGCTTTTTTGGGGGCGTAAACGAAGGAAAAAACATATAAAATTAGTCTTCTAACATATTTTGGATAAGGTTATTTGGAATTTTTGGCTTTGGTGTTAAAAGTATTTATCAAAATCTTAAGAGAAATACATACGCTACCCATGTGCTTTGACCCTCTTTGTGTACCCGTGTGTTGGCTGCAATCCCACACGGAGTTCGTGTAGGCCCCTCACCTAGCCGTCCGCCGCGTCTGAGGGTAGCCCGATATCGTGACCTTACTACACGCCTCGTTGACACGCGTCATGATCGGATGCAGACTCTAGACCCCATGCGGGACCCACCACCACCAATTGCTTGCCTGGGCTCCGACGGTGCGGTTCGCGTGTAAACCGGCTTGAGCTGCTTCGTGTGGCGCGAGATTTTTGGGATGCGGTTCGATTCGGTTCGACGAACTGAAATGCTTTATCTCACGACTTAACGGACGACCATCTCACGATAGTCGGTGGTTCGGTCATTCACCACCCTGTCGTGTGTTCGGTCGTTCGTATGACTTCGTGACTCTTGGTCAATCGCGTTGCACTGCGCCATGAGACATCCTCGCTTTTGACTCCGCTTGGACGACGGACACTTCTCCTCTCCCTTGCTAGCTTCGGCTGCTTGCGAGGCGGCGAGATGGATCGATCCGGTCGCCCCCTCCGCGTTCGGGGAGAGGCGGGAATGGTGGCAGATGTGGTGAAGCGGATCCGGAGGTGCGGGGAAGGCGGCAGCACGTATGGCTACATTCTCCTCTATATTGCCTTGTCCAGCGGCCAGATCTTCTTCAACAAGGTCACTCTATTAACCGCCATTTTGATTCCTAGGGTTGCAACTTTTCTTCATTTTTGTTGCGGTTTCCTTCTTGTACAATTCTGATCTGATCTGTTCTGTTATTTGGGCGCAATCTGCAAACCTACAATTCTTAGGGTATACGATCAGGATCGCGACTCCAAGTTGTTGTCTTGGAGAAGTGCTTTCCGAAAGGTCGCCTCGATAAAAGCTAAAAGTTTGTTGGTGTTGGGATCTAAGATCTTGGATGCTTGGTAACGTAGGCGTTTGGTAATTTTTCTGGGGTTATGATTGTATAACCAAATTTCATCATAATCAAGAAAATTCTTGAAAATAAATATAAATTTTGTCATTTATTTTTGAATTGAGAATGAACGTCTATTCTAGAAAAGAGCGACACTTTAAGGTGCAACCAGGATTCAAATAACGTACAAATTTGAATAGATGATCTTCTTGATTTAGAAGGCATGACGTTTATGATGTCAAATCGGCCTTCCACATATGATGGAGGCTAACTAGAGTAACAAGTAGAACTCTTTCTGTTAACTGTGTGATCATCAAGATGGACTTCTTGAGTTCCCATAGGGCAATACCCCATGATAATGTTTCAAAGGGGACATTAGCCCTTTTTTTTTATTCCCAAAATGATAATCTCTGAGGTTGTTGAGTCATTTTATGTAGTTGAATGTTGTTTTTACCCTTAAGGTAGATATCTTGATTCCTTTTGGATGATCTTTTGTCTGAATGATGCTTTTGATAATTACTATGAATAAAAGTGGTCATTCTCTGTATAAAGACATGATTTTGAGTGATGCATTTTGCTTTGGTGCCGAAAGATGTAAAATTCTGATGCCATTGCACAAACTGATGTTATCTGATATAGAGGATTGCACATAAGGTTGGCCTAGTGGGAAAACAAATGCACAATTCACATTTAACTCATTTAAATACATGTGTTATCAACTCTGAAGAATTGAATTTATAAGTTGGATGCTGTTCCTTGCACCCTCAAGTATAATCTTAGTTTTTTTTATCTTAATTCTATCTTTTTTTCCCTTGATCTAGGGATAGTTAAGCACTGCAACTTTTAGCTGTATTTTGCTTTTCCAACTAACTTGCTCCATCACTGCTGCAGTGGGTTTTGTCTTCCAAACAGATCAACTTCCCCTATCCAGTTGCATTGACTTTACTACACATGCTTTTCTCTTCTGTATTATGCTTTGTGCTCACCAAAGTCTTCAAGGTATTTGTGCTTTTAAATAGTATTAGCTATGTTTTGTAATATAAAGACGTGGTTCTTATCGACCACTCATTGGTTATTGCTCTTTTGTACTTATTTTCTAGTTATAGACTTCTCAAGAAGATGTTTCTCTCTTTGTGTATCAGATTATAAAGATTGAAGGAGGAATAACCTCAGAAATGTGAGTAATCAATTGCCTATTTCTCGCAACGTTTAGGGTGTATATTGTGTTGGCTTCTTCATTCTTTTTTGTCCAATTATGCTATCTTGTTATTTGTCAGCTCAGAATAATAAATCTTGTTGTTCCTTTATTTTCTGTTGAAGTATTGCATTCTCCAGTAATGTTTTTTTTTTATCAAAAGTGATTTATCTAATGATAGGTAGTACAGTTTATAATATATATGATAACATAGTAGCATGTTTTGGTTCCTTCAGCCTATTGTGAAAGATTCAAAGCCATGACCTTCTTAACCTCTTGTTGTGTTTATGATGTCATTATTTGTGCAAATTCAGCTCATTCCAAAGCACAAAGTTGGTGAAGACTCTAACAAGACTGCTGTCTTTTCTTCAAGAGTGATTTATTAAATTTGCAACCCCAAGGAATGCAATTAGCTGATCTAATATTTTCACCAGTTTTGTACTAGTTTCTTTATCATAATGAACAGAGATTATCATCATTCTGTTTTGACAGCATGTGGTGGTAAAAGTATCTAATTCCTTGCCCCTTTTTGGCCAGTTTGGCCTCTTACACTATTACTGTGACTTGCTAACTGTAGCGCATGCTATCATGTCCACTGTTACCTTTGCTATAAAAGCATCTAGTCAGTTTGCTTAGATTGTTTTTGTCAAACAGTGGCATGTCAAACGTGACCTATGCCATAGACAAAACAGTGCTCCAGAAATGACAACTTCACTGTGGCATATGTATATGCATTTCGTGAAATTATGAATTGTTTTCACATGTGTTTAAGTTGGCTCTGTGTAATCAATATCCTATTATCATCTGCATCAGTGATCATACCCTGGGCATTTGCAGAAGGACCAGTTGATGAAGCTTTGTACAAGCACAAAATCTTTTAGGATGATTATGCATCTTTAGGGGGAAAGCTTTGCTTTACACCATAGTCTTAAGTTTGGATTAGTACTTGACTCTATCACTAATACACCTTGGTGTAGGTAGAGGTGAACAGACACTCAACATGGGAGCATGTGAGATGTATGTACTTGTCAACAATGTTTCAACACTACAATTCTTAAAATGAAATGTGCAAGCTGTTTAGAAGCAACATAATTGTATTTCAAATTCAACTTAATAATATCACCTCAACTTTCCATGATTGCTTACTTTTTTGTTATATTTTAGCAACATGCATATATCATCTTATGAAGATTGTGGACTTCGAGTTTTGAAATATACTCCTGTTTTGTACAAAAATGCAAAGAAATTCTTCCTTGGGATGATAATTAGCTCTAGTTCATCTGAGAATATTTGACACAGCCCTCAAGAGTGGGTTGTGTTAACCTTCAGGAGGAGCGGAGATGGTGACTTATCATAAGTCAAGTGTTTTTATCATGGTGGACTTGAACCATTGTCTACTAAAGTTTTTGTCTCGTAATATGCTTTGCGTTGTACTTCAATTTGGGATCATCAACTATATAACTTCGACAAGGGTTCTAGCCAATTACAAACTGGACTCCGATCTTATATTTCATTTCTGAGACATTGTATTCTGAATCCTCAGATATCTCACATCAGTCGTACCAATTGGTGCCATGTTTGCAATGACTCTTTGGCTGGGGAATAGTGCTTACCTCTATATATCTGTTGCATTTGCCCAAATGTTGAAAGCTACCAGTAAGTACTAAACTCTTTCTCATTTTATTATGGTCTAAACAAACCTTCATGGTCATTTATTGTTGCAATTGATGCAAATATTGATTTTTTTTCTTTTTTTGCTTTTGAGTTTTTCAGTGCCTGTTGCTGTATTTTTTCTGGGAACAGCAGCAGGCCTTGAAGCAATGAGTTGTAGGATGTTTGTCATTATGACTGTCATCAGTATTGGAGTAGTTGTGGCTTCATATGGGGAGATCAGCATCAGTTGGATTGGAGTAGTTTATCAGATGGGTGGTGTAGTTGGTGAGGCCTCAAGACTCATCTTCATGGAAATTTTTGTGAAAAGAAAGGGTGTTCGACTGAACTCAATTTCTATGATGTATTATGTTAGTCCATGCAGGTAGTTATTCACTATTTCTCTACCAATTTGTGGGTAAAAAAGCCTTTTCGTGGAGTAATGATGCTTATTTGCTTGTTGCAGTGCTTTGTGCCTCTTTGTTCCATGGATATTCTTGGAGAAACCAAAAATGGATTCTAGTGGGCCTTGGAACTTTCCACCAATTATATTGGGTCTCAACTGTCTCTGCACATTTGCTCTCAATCTGTCAGTTTTCCTTGTGATTTCTCGCACAAGTGCGCTGACTATTCGTGTAGCTGGAGTTGTCAGGGACTGGGTTGTAGTTTTACTGTCAGCTTTAATATTTTCTGATTCAAAGTTGACAATTATCAACATAATTGGTTATGGTATAGGTATGTAGTATATGCCTGTTCTTAATGTATTTACTTTTCTTAGTGCTCTTTTTGTTTTTACTGATAGGGATATATCATCATTTGTGGTCCGGTCTTCTCTTGGTTAGTGTTTGTTTGTTCCTTTTCTTTGCCAACAAACCTAACTTGATGGACCCTTCAAGAAAATGGGTCTATCTTTTGTCTTGTGACCTTAATCTCACCTACTTTTATGTTCCTCACTTCTCACGATTGGTTGGTAATGGCTCTTTCATTTCAGAATGCCGTCGGACTTGATTTTGCCTTGCAAAGTAGCTTAATGATTAAGCTGACTATGTTTTTACTGATTATATCAAATGTTTAATTTCCATCTCTAAGAATTTTTACATTGTCTCAACAATGTTGGGATTTGGCAGCTATTTCAGGTGTTGTGGCATATAACAATCACAAACTGAAAAAAGAAGCATCCCAAATAAAATCAGACGGTACTGCTAAAACTGAAGACCAAGAAAGATCTCAAGATGTTCAGGTAGTCTTGATTCCTCAAAAGGAAAATACATAGATGTTCATACCATGTTTTTTGAGGTAAGACTATAAATCAGATGAATGGATCACTTGCAGCTTTGTTTTCTATTCCATACAATTCTCATTCTTTTTTCGTTTGTGAAACAGGATAAGTAGTAGCTTGTCGGTGAAATGCGTCCCAGCCTGAGCAGCTCTTTCCCTTCCCCCAACTATATTGCAACTGTCTTATGACATGATCCTCAAGAACTAAGAAGTAGGTGGTCGTCTGCTGTAAGCGAGTGCAAGAGCAGCATTTCACCTAAAGATAACCAGTAAAGTGTGGTTTTGAGAACATGGTGGTTCACCATTCGGATTCATTACATGTATTCTATGAGTTTTATATCATTCTTGGACTCTGGATGCTGCAAGCAAGCAGCTGAGAATTTAGATTTTGTTTCAAGACAGGTGGAACTGAATGTATAACGATAACTTCCATTAAAATCTTTACCCAGTGTATTCAAATTATGGTATCCTTCTTATTGTTTGCATTTTTTTGTTTCATTTGTCCTGGATAAAATGTTTCCGTGCTTGCAAATAGTTGTGACTAAGGGCTTTCTAAAAGCCTAGGCAAATCATGAAATGCTGAGAATGGATTAACATCAGACAATAAAGGACTACTTGATTGATCTGCTGGATGTGGAGCTTATCCCATTTCCAAATTAATTAGCCTACCACGTCAGGGAGTGATCCAACAGGCACTTGATGACATCTTAGTAGGTAACTCTTTACCAAGTTACAATAACTGAGCCAACCAGAAGCTAGAACTACAAAGTAAAACAAATCTGTGTGAAGAAATTGTCATGTGATGTAAGCTCATAGAAATCAATTTCCCATGGTTAGCTTACAGCTACACATGGTCCTAATGTAGATCTCCAACCATACACTTCAAACAAAAATAACAGTGCCTTCCATCTGATATGTGCACATATAAATGTCTGGTCTATGTGCTTTGCATTTGATTCAGGCAACTGCTGCAGTAGGAAATTAAAGTTTGTGGGCATGTCCAATATGACATTATCTAGATGTTTGAAGATGTCTTGTCGATAGCTACTGTTCTGTCATCGTACAAAAGCCATCACCCAGAAGCTTCAGATGGAGTGTGAAAAAAATGCTAAATGCACAATTTGGAAAAGGTCTCTTCAGAACTAATTTGGATGCATGTGAAAGTTGAGGTGTATAACCAAAACATTGAACCCTGCAACTATTTAGACATGGCTGACTAGGGCAAGTTCAATGCATTCCAAGAGCTTAATGAAGTGTTTATTTAGAAGATTGACTTTTCTAATAATGTTTCCAAGTGTCATCATCATCTCTGCAGAATCTATTGCATGAAAGTCAGGTCTTCTAGAGAAGGATCACTCTTTCAGAAAACCAAATCTACATGATCCACAAGGTTTTGGTAAATTAATCCTCCTCCTATCATGCAACACATAATCCAAAAAAGAAACTTTACATGTACTCAGAACAGTATCTGGAGATAAATGTTATTAAGTAAGGTTGAGATGTCAGCCACCATTAGAAACTGTTTGTCCATGGAGGGTAGAATTTTAGATAGATCAGAAGTAAATCTTTACATGATAGTTTGTCTTCTATGCATATTTGCTTTAAATAATGCAACAATATTGACATATTATTCTCAAATTTATTGAGAGTGACAGTGGGAGTGAGAAAGGGAAAGGATAGCTGCCTATGGTGACATATTGCCTTCTTTCAGGACTAGAATTGTGGTTTCAATTGCTAGCAAAAAATTGATGGTTCAAATCAGTTGATGGCTTCTTCATGACCAGTTGATGACATCACCTTACCATCCTAAATAGTCACAGAACAAACAAGAAAATAATTGAGTTAACTTGAATAAATTCATCAAGTCATGTCCTGGTAATTTACAGACTCCTGTTTATGTTCAAAGCCAGATCCATAATGGTTTCTAACCTCGAAGATGGAAGGACTTATATTTCTTTTATTCCTTTTCTTTTCTCCTAATCAGATTGGCTTTTTAAGGTTTATTCTCACAAAATAGAAGCAAGGTGGATTTATCTTTTTTTTTCAGCAAAATGAAATAGAAACAAAACACAAAAAAAAGGACTATCTCTATTGTCTAAATTCTGCCTCTATATATCTACCCAGGTTTTATTATAAGTGAAGCAGAAATATATATTATATCTATGCAGGTTTTATTATATATTATAGAAGGTAATATGTAATTAGTCGAATGATATAATTCGCTTCAAGCATTAATCTTGTGATAATATCACTAATTCACTTATCCTAGATTAAAAATAAATTTTATATTTTAAATATTAATCCGATGGTAATATATCTGTCGACGATATCTGCTTTGAGGTTGCTTAATTTTAGTAGTACTAAAAAATATACATCTTACACCAACTCGGTGAAAGCATTTCGTCGAACACTTTATTACCTCTTCGGCATCATCATGCACGCGAAAGCGACAGCAGACAACACAAGAAACCACGAACACAAGTAGATCGCGTCGCGGAAGAACACGTATCCACCCCACGCACCGCGCTTTGGCTCGCATAACGCCAACCCCGCGCATTCAATGCAAAAAGTCGGATCCGGCGATGAAGACGACGCCTCCCCTCGTCAGGGAGCGGACGCCCACAGTCGCATCCCCCCACGGCCATCCAAACCTGCCCTCTGCATCTTCCCCACATTGATTCCTTCCTTCCCTGTCGCTGCAGCGCTCTATAAATGCCTCCCTCCGAGCATCCAGGAGACGTGGCCTCGCCTGAGCTGAGCCTGAGCGAACGGAGAAGACGAGATGATGGCGGCCAAAGCGCAGGCAGTGGGCCGGTACGTGACGGAGGCTGCTCCGCCGCAGTTCGTGTCCATCGTGAGGTACAAGGTGACGAGGATCCTCGACACGATCACGGAGGAAGATAGGGAAGCCGCGGAGGCGCAGCCGCCTTCGGCGGCCTCTTCCCCTTCCACCTGCCGCGCGCGGCGACTGCGTTGCGTGGCGTGGCCTTGGAGAGATCAGATGAAACCGACGAGTTCTTCTTGATGCTTAGATGCAGCATCAAGAGTCGTGACGGCTAAGGGCCGAGAGTTGTGTGTGATCCCTCCCTCACCTCGCTCGTATACTGTTGACCGTAAGAGGTCTAATTAGCAGTAAGGTTGATGTCAACATATGAGTTTGATTTGCTTCAAAGTAAGTAAACTAGATTTTGGTTTCAGGCCAAAAAGTTGAATTCAGCAAATATTATCACACTTAAAACGGGTGATGGATGAACATATGACGTGAATTCTTTGCATCTCTTTCAAATGACACAAGCAAAAAATAAAGAGTTAAACCATGGTTTGTGTTGCAGATTGACTGAGAACACCAAGTCCTTCTCCAAAGGACATTTCATAGCTATCAAGAGCTCACTATCAAAATGAACTAGACATTTACATCTTATACATTTCATAGTTTCTTCTATGACTTCTATCTTTCTATATTCTTCGTTTAATCGATTGACACTATCTATCCTCATGAATATGACATCAAAATAGAATTAAATTATGCAATCCTCTCTAATTTATTAAATGAGGTTTTATTAAATAAGAATTTAAACCTTAGACCTATGAATATATGTGTAAAGTTAGAATTCAATTTATATCCACCCATATTTAAAAGAGTTATATGTAGCAAAGTAGAGAGATAAATTTGATACAAGATAGGCACACTCAAACACCATGTGGAGAGCACCCACCATGTTGTGGGCTCCACAACCAAATTGGCTAGTGATGTGGGAATTTATAGGGAGGTTGGATAGGGATGAAGATGATAAAGATGGCACCATGTCTGGTTCATATAGACTTGCTTACTAAAGCAAAGAGGCGATGATGAATTCTAGGGATCTAATAGCCATGAGACATTCTAGCTCAAGTTCTTGAGCTTTTTTGACATGGCATCATTGGTCAATGGACTACAAGCATCATTGCAGCAGTGTCAAAGACTAGCTTTTGGTCTCTCTCCATCCAGGCTTTGCTGCCCGCTACGAAATCCGCCTATAAATTTCCAACCTTAAAGCAATATAAATATGCACATATTTTTGTCTTTCTCTTCGGATGCAGATTCCCGGGCACAACCCATATTGAGTTGGCTTTATGGGCTGAGGGTGAGGGACCCTTTTAGCCTGGTGGTGGATTTCATTATGCAGGCAGAAGAACACATTTAAACTTTGAATAATGGATAAGGAGAAGGAAAGAAAAAGGTTTTGTTTGTGAGGGACAGACCTTGAACACTTGCCCATCACACCCCCCCCCACATTGCCTGTTATCACTGTTGTCTGTCTATGTGTCTGTATAGTCAAAGACTCTACAAAGATCCCAATAAAGAGATTAAAGGATGTTAACGTCACTTCCATCACTGCATAATGCTGATTTCATGAGATTGCTTGTTCTGCATGTTTAAAGCTAGATTTTAGTCACTTGTTATCCATTGGTTTGGTCTATCTTCGTGAAACTTGTTTTGGAAATCTTTGTTTCAGTTTCTTCAAATCAGAGAACGTTCCTATGTATGCAACCAAAAACTCTACAGAGATCCCTAGAAAGAGAGATTGAGAGATGTTAACATAACTCATTATCACTGACTAATATTGATTTGATGAGCTTGTTTGTTCTACATGTATAAAGCTTGGTTTGGTTTATCTTCAAGAAACTTGTGTTGGAAATCTTTGTTCCAGTTTCTTCAAATCAGAGACTATGCAGCAACTGCAGAAGCCTTTTCCTCTTGGGAATAATACAGTCCATAAATCCAAGAGGAAGCTTAAATATGTAGTTGTTGATTAGAAAAGGTAGAGTTTATTTGCCTCATTGTATTACAGTTGTCAATGTTTCAAAGGAATATATAAGAAATATTTATCCTCAAAACTTTTTTGTTTCCCTTTTACAGAGTCAAATCTCCTACACAGCATACTTCTATTTCCAATGTCAACTTTACATAAAAATATATTATCTTCTTTTTGAGGGAATACATCAATATACATTTTAAAGAAGAGATGATAATGATAATAAAACAAAAAAAAAAGATGCTAATCATTAACAGAAGACTGAGAGCACTGACCACATTTTTCAGCCAAACCAGCAGGATGAAACAAGCAAGACTCAAATAGTATCAGCTTGCTACTGGTAGAACTCCTTAGTCCACTGATAATTATCATCACTGTCCTTTTAGTCACCTAACTATGATTTGACCTGCATGGTTATCACTAAACATAGCCTCAGGTGTTTAAAGGTTGTCTCCGTCAGCTTTTTGAGATCTTCTCAGGATTGTCCTCCACTCTTTGCTTAAACTAATCATTGTTAAGCCTGTGGTTTACACCTGATTAGACAGATCCCACAGCTTAATTTTGAATGTTATACCTAAATGGAATGAAATTGTCTGCAGGTGGTATGCAGTTTGTTCTTCTCCTTCAAATGTTGGTGACAAGTTATAGCATGCCATAGTTCCACAATTATT